GCCCCCGTGTAAGCATATCCCGCCTCGTCCTGCAGCCTGCTCTTAGCGGCATACTGCAGGGCCGCCTTGGGATACCGAGGTGAATTTTAAGTCGACTGAAAACTCACCGTATCCTTATTCACGCTGCACTTGCCGCTGGCCCCTGTGTAGGCATATCCCGCCTCATCCTGCAGCCCAATCTTCGCCGCATACTGCAGGGCCGCCTCGGGGTACCCCCCCCGGCACGAGGCAGCAGCGCCAGTGCAGTCCACCAGCTGCTGCACCGACAGGCTCATCCCGCTGGGGAACACATCATCGTCCGTCTCTTTGAGCTTCGCATACGCGCCCTGAATCGCCCGCGCCGCCGCGTACGCCCAGCAGGAACCTGGGATAGGGGGAGGGAGGATGGGAAGGGAGGTGGGGGTATTGTGGCATTCGAAGGGGTAGCAGCAGGAGCTTCGCATACGCGCCCTGAATCGCCCGTGCTGCCGCGTACGCCCAGCAGGAGCCTGGGAGGGGTTTGATGGCATGCGGGCCCAAGTCAATGAAGTCAATGACCGCCCACAAGTCAACAACACTTCGACAGTAGTCAAAACAGGTCAACAGAAGTCGACGCGGGTCAACAGAAGTCAATGCGGGTCAACAGAACTCAATGCCAGTCAACAGAAGACAATGGCGGTCAAGAAAAGTCAACTCCGGTCAACAGAACTCAACGCCGGTCAACAGAAGTCAATGCGGGTCAACGGCAGCCAACAGCACGCACCGCAGTTGCCCTGGTCGAAATCGTCTTCAGGGAAATACTTGCTGTAGTCCACGCTCTTCTTGAAATCCCACGTGAGCTTCCGAGAGGCGGGGTCGAGTGTGAGACCCACGGTGAGGTAGCGCGAGACGGTGTTGAGATTGGGCAGCTTGGCAGGATTGAGTTCCTTGGTCGTGGGGGGAACGTAGCCCAGACTGCGGTCTGGCGGTTGGGGGAAGGGCGCAGGGAGTAAGGGATTGGGGGAGGAGCAGGGAGAGAAGAGGGCTTTGTGTGAGCAAACATGGCAGCAGCAGCGGTTCAGGCGACAGCTGAGCTTGTGGGAGGTGGGGTCGAGTGTGAGACCCACGGTGAGGTAGCGCGAGACGGTGTTGAGATTGGGCAGCTTGGCGAGTTCCTTGGTGGTGGGGGGAACGTAGCCCAGACTGCGGTCTGACAGGAGAGGGCAGAGGGTTTTGAGGGAGGGAAGAGCAGAAGAGAAGACGGTGCGAGACGGTGTTGAGATTGGGCAGCTTGGCGCGGTCCTTGGTGGTGGGGGGGACGTATCCCAGACTGCGGTCTGGCGGCGGGCAGAGGGGAGGCACAGCGAGAGAAGAGGGAGATAAGAGGGATGGTGTAAGCACACGCAGCTTGGCCAGGTCCTTGGTCGTGGGGGGGACGTATCCCAGACTGCGGTCTGGCGGCGGGCAGAGGGCAGAGGGGCGTGTATCCTACTAGACTGCGGTCCTTGTGAGCGATTAGTGAAAATTCTCAGTCTGACGATAGAGGGGGAGAGGAGGGGCAGGGGGATGAGGGTAGCGCGGGAGGAGGAAGGAGAGTGAGGAGGAGGCGAGTGAGAATTCACTTCCCAAGCACCTTACCAGCAAGAACTCAGGTTCAACCTAAGAACCGGTAAACCATGCCCTTCACCTCATTCCACCGCACTCCACCCATCGTTGCGCCCCCGCGTGACTCTCACTCACCAACGGTTGTGCCGTGTGCGCTGCTCCCCTTGCTCGTCCCGCGCCCCTTCCCTCCGCCTCCTGCCGCCTGCTGAATCAGCTTCTGCACGCGCTTCCTCACCGTCGCGAGCCACTGGCGCGCCGCTGCGGCGAACGCGTCTTTAGTTAAGTACGAGGCGCGTTCGGGCGGCTTGCCGACGCCCGTCAGGTCCGCGGCGCCCATCAGCGGCGCGAGGGCTTTAATCTCCGCACGTGTCTTCGCGTCCACCGCCAGCGCCGAGAGGTCCGATGCCGACGCGCCAGCTGTCGCGTCGACAGACGTCGCGGTAACGGCGGAGTCCGCGTTTGTCGCTGTATCGAGTGTGTCTGTAATGAGGACGCGCACGCGGACGCGCACGCGTACGCGCACGCGGGAGATGGGGCCAGGGGCGGGGCGAGGGAGGGAAAGAAGAAATTGGAGGAGGGAGGAAGGAGGAGCGGAGGAAGTGGTAAGAAACAAGCGCCATAGGGTTTGTAACATTTCAAGGTCTGGGGCCTGGGTTTGGCGCGGTGCCGTGTGGTACCACGGGGTGTCACGTGGTGACATGCGCTGCAATGCGGTGCAGCACGAAACTCGGTGCTAGATGTGATGACCAGTCTCGGAGTCACAGTGCGCTGACCGGATCAACGCCGCGTTGAAAGGAGCGTTCCGCCATGCGGGGAAAAAAAAGGCATGCTGCGCGCTGATGGAGAAAAACCGGCGTGATACGTTTGCTTGGAGAGAAAGACAACTTGCTCCAGGAAATGATGCTCCGATGTGGGCTGCTTGCTGCCGCGCTGACGGCTGCTACCCTGTCGCCGTCGTCCATCACAAAATTGTTCGCCCCTACTAGTATGTACATAGAGGTTCTGCTATATTGTAGATACAGAGCTATATAGAGTACATTTAATATAGCGGAACCTATAAGTACCTATATATGACATAGTACGGGGGCCAAACAATTTTGGGATGTCCACCGTTTCTAACCGTCGCCCACCGTCTCCTTCCCAACTCCAAACGGAGCGGGTTCAGCCTTCATTTCAACCAAGCGAGACACGTCAGCCTCATGTCAGCATGATAGGCCGCTTACCTATCCGCCGGGCAGCGGCGGCGGGGGCGACAGTGATGATCAGTAAGACTGCTACTAGTCGAAGCGAGTGGGTTGGAAACGCCGAGCCGCGACAATCCATCGTGTCAGAAGCCGCAAACCTAGTCCCGCGCCGCTGTCGTGCGGGATGCGCAAGTTTGGCTTACTATGCAGACACGTCAGCGGAAGCGAAATGCAGACGGGAAAGGACTGTCGACCTTACGTCCGTCGCCGAATCAGGACCTAGCGTCCGTCGCCGTGAAAAAAATATAACGAGGCTGGTTATGCTTGTACTGACGCGTAGCCTCGTGTAATCGTGCGCGATTCACGCTTCTATGGCGGCTCGTTTCGCGCGACGTGTGATGACAATTACCGAGGAGGAATTACTTAAGCGAAGCCTTTGAGAGGTGGACTACTCGTACGCAATATCGATCGGCGTGCGAATATAAAGACATCCAAACTTGTAAGGAGCGACACCTTGAGTAAACCCTGGCTACTGTACCTCAATCAGATTTATACCACTTCACCTGCGACTACTTTCCCCTAACTATCGTACGGAACTCCTTGCCGCTCGAGCCGTGTTGTACTTCGTAGTACAGTTCTGCAGACCCCCCTAAGTTCAGGACTCAGAACGTACTTCATTTCGCGGTACAGTAGGGCAGAGTGACAGTAGTACAGTTCTGCAGACCCCCCTAAGTTGTGCCGCAGAGTAGGGAGAGTGACAGAAGCGAGCCCTGCGGCGGCATGGCAGAACAGTGGGCCGGCTGGCCGCGTCCTCCGCAAACACCAAACGTGGGGTCAGCTCGGGGCTCTCAGGTAGGAGAAATTTGACGAAAACAGCGGTCCGCTCGCGCTCGCTCTGCGAGCGAGTTGCGCCAGGTGAAGGCGCAGACATGCAGTGAGGACCTGGACTTCTTTTTTGGGCCTGAGTCGGTTGTTTTGTCTGTTACGCGTGGCACGATAATGCTTCGCGAACTCGTAACGGTTCATGAGTCGTCACAGACGGACAATTCAATACCACGAGTGGATCGTGCAGTTACGCGTTCAACACGGTAATGATCCGTAAAACATCACGATTGGTCATGAAGGTCACAGCTGTTTTAGGTGCAGAATGTAAACCACTTTTATTCTGATGCTTCTCTACTGTAGTCAGCTTATAATCCACTAACAAAATATAGGGTGTACCAAAAGTGATCAGCCGATGAAAAAAAATAAAAATGTTTACCAACCCTCCCCCGACCCATCCCCCACCTCGTCTTCCTGCACCTCCTCCCGTGACTCTGCCTGCGGTCCCCCCTGAGGGTATCCACCATACTTCCACTTGCACTTCAGACGGTTGTGCCCCAGCTCCCGGCACCTCCCGCAACGATACGCATGGGGTGCTGTCTCCACACGAGTGTGGTCCTCCTGGCGGCCAACCCTGGTCAAGACAAGAGATGGCGCATCACAAACCCCAGCCGGAGCTTTGGGCACCTCTCTTATGAATCTGTCAATGCAAGTCCCCAACACCACTGGTGCGTAGGTCATGCGGAGATTGTGTGTGGTGTAGTAGTCTGAGACGAGGATCTCGGGGCACCTCTTCTTGATAATACACATGGCAACAGCGTGAGCACACGGAAACTGGTATTCTTGCCAATTACCACACTCACAAGCCCGGGCGACAAGGTTGACATTGTAGCTCCGCCACTCTGTCTCGTGCTCCCCTCCACGGGTCTGGATCGTCCCGAAATCCCGAGTCCCCCCAAGAAACCAGTAACCCTGGCACCTGTTGATCTTGATCTGCATGCGGGTCGCAGCTGCTGGCGTGAGATGCTCGTCGCGTTGCATGGCCATCTCGTGTCGCTCAACCCACTTCTCCTGAAACCAGTCCCACAAGGACGCGAGCAGGTAGGTTGGAGGCAGCATCCTTATGCGTCGTACATCACCGTTGAGTGTCTCCGCAGCATTGCTCGTGTAGATGCCAAAGCGCCGTGTGACGGCAAAAAGCCGAGCCCAATGGAGGAGCTGGATTCCGCCAATGCGGTACGTGGACCCCTTCCTGTTGCGGTGGAAACCTGTCTGCACATAAATACCCCCTTCGTCATCGCCTTCGGCCCCCCCGGCCTCCCCGTCCACGTCCTCTAACCCAGGTTCATCCGCATCAGCGTGAAGCAGATCTCCATGCCTCCCAGTGTCTGGCCATGGCAGCGCAAGCACGTCTGCCAATCCCGCGTGCAGCTAGTCCTCCTCGTCCAGTGCTGTCGATCGCCAGTCGTGGCCCCGCCGTGCACCCGCTGGCCCACGGTTGACCCCTGTGTTGATAGTCGCGGGTGTGTACCCTTCGCGTGCCCTCTGGAGCAGTGCATCCACGTCGAACGGTACCCTCCCTCGTTCTGCCGGCCCCAAACCTTCCTCCATTGACCCACCAGGTGAGCCAGTGTCCATCTCATCGTTCGTGGCTAAACCCGAGCCACCTGCCCCTGCTCGCCCAGAACTCACACCAGGCTCGTGCAGTCCGCCGTCGACCCCTACTGCACCGTTGCTGTCGCCGCGCCCATATCCCACCCTGTTCGCAAAACCCACGGTGAATCCTTCTCCTCTTGTTAATACAGGGGGGCCCATGCCAATGCCCGCATATCGTGTCGCACGACCGAGTCCAAGTCCCATCCCCCCCAAGCCCAAGCTCCTCAACGTTTCCAAGTGTCTCAGACCCGAGACCAGTTCTGCTCCCGGAACCCAACCCGAGACCCCCAAGGGTCGTTCCCACGCCCCTATGTCCACCTCCCCTACCGGCTCCAATGTGCCCAGCCCCGCCGCCAGCTCCCCTCCCGCCGCCCAGCCCGACACCCCCAAGGGTTGCTCCCATCCCTGTCCCAAGGTGCACGCCTCCCCTCCTGGTTCCAACCCCCACGCCCCCAAGTCCACCTCCGCTCCCGGCTCCAAGATGCACAGCCCCAAGTCCACCTCCCCTCCCGGTTCCACCCCCCACGCCCCCAAGTCCACCTCCGCTCCCGGCTCCAAGATGCACAGCCCCAAGTCCACCTCCCCTCCCGGTTCCAACCCCCACGCCCCCAAGTCCACCTCCGCTCCCGGCTCCAAGATGCACAGCCCCAAGTCCACCTCCCCTCCCGGTTCCAACCCCCACGCCCCCAAGTCCACCTCCGCTCCCGGCTCCAAGATGCACAGCCCCAAGTCCACCTCCCCTCCCGGTTCCAACCCCCACGCCCCCCAGTCCACCTCCGCTCCCGGCTCCAAGATGCCCAGCCCCGCCGCCAGCTCCCCAAAGGCCAGGTCCCCCCACGCCTCCAAGCCCTCCGCCCATGAGGATAGCACCAGCAGGCGCTCCTAGACCCGTGACCCCCGGCTCTGCTCCCATACTCGAACCCAGGCCAACACCACTTAGACCAGCCCTTTCGCTTCCGCCCTCACCTCCGCCAGCACCACGCGTGCTTTCCTGAGTCCCAATCCCCCCGCCCGAGGTACCCAAACCAAGGTTGGACTCACCTGGGTATCCGTTTGGGGCTCTGCCACCAGCGGCCCCCTGCGTGGCGCCCCCCAGACCATTCCCCACGCCCCTCCCAACCCCACCTCGTCCAGCGCCCCCCGGGCCATACCTGCCGAACCCTCTCCCACTCCCGACACCAACACCGAACCCACCGTACTGGAAGGCGCCTCGTCCTGGTCCGTTGCGCGCCGTTCCCCTTCCTCCGTTCCCTCGAGCACTACCATCCCTGTTTGCCCCGCTCTCCTGTGTTCCGGGAATGGCAGCCGTGTCTCCCGATCCTCTGAACCGCATCCCGTAGATCTCGGCATTGGGTGCGTTAATCCCACCTCTCCCCGAGAGACCACCACCTCGCCGGTTGTAGCTCGCATAGCCGGCACCCGGGATGCTGGAGCCGCGTCAGCGGCTGCCGACGATCCTCGAGGAGCATTTCTGGCTGCACGGCGGCCATCGCGACCGGCCTCGAAAACGTATGCCCGTGCACCCTCATACGTTTGTCGCGCCTGTGGAGGTGGTCGAGTCGCTGGTTCTGGTGGGAAATCCGGCACCGGCGGATCCTCCCTCCCAAACAAGTACAGAGCCATGTCGGGAAAGTCAGTCCGGCAGGCTGCAATGAGTGCCAGCCACTTCACCTTACTCCTGCACTTGACCAACCGCCAGAAGAACTTCATAGCTGCCTTGCCGTGCCGCTTAAGGTTCTGTTCCAGGTGCCAGGCGCAAAAATAGTGCGGGATGTGACTAGGCATCACCTCCTTGGCTGCCGGGACAAGCCCTTTGTCCCGATCGCTGATCATTGCCGCGTGTTTTTGCTGGACCCACTCCGGAAACCCTTCAAGGAACAGCCTCAGGAACCAGCTCCATGACTCTTTGTTCTCAGATTCCACCAACCCCCAAGCCAGCAGGAGAACTTTTTGGTTCCCATCGAGGGTAACAGCGACAAGCAGCATCGCCTTCTGCGCGCTAATCAGGTGCGTACCGTCGAACGCGACAACCGGACGGCAAAAGTTGAGTGCATGGCGCGCCGCGGAAGGACGGACGGAGAACCTGTGGAACAACCCTCCTAGTGTATCCAGCTGCACTTTCACCCCGGGGTCAATGACCTGGAGCCGATCCACCAACCAAGGAATCTGTCGAAACGACTCCTCCCAATCCCCATACATCTCCTTCATGATGTACTCGCGCAAACGCCATGCCTGCCAGTAGTGGATCTCCTGGCCCCCAATACCCTCCATCTGACGCATAATGTGAATCGGGGCCAGGAACGGATCAGCGCGGACCATATTGCCGTAGGCGCGAATGAGCACGGGTAACTTGTTAGCTATGTCCTCGGCGTATGCATGCCTATGTTCAGGTCTGCAGATGTGCTCCTCCACTGGTACAAGACCCGTGATGCGCCAGAAATCGCCATGCTTACACTGCGCATACGAACAGCTCCAAAGGCACGCCGACAGGTGCCCCTCCGCCATGGACTTGCAGCCCACTACCACGTATCTCTCCTTCGTGATCATAACCTTGTAGCCGAACTTGTGTAGAAGGGCGTAAACCTGGACAGCCTCGAAGCATTTGTCACGTGACGAGTACACACCACCCACTTCCAACGGCGCATTGTCATTAGGGCCTTCTAATTCCCAGTCAATCTCAGGAGCGGAGTGCATCTTACGCAGCGCAATAAGCTGCGGATTTCCCGCCATGATTGCGGGATTCCGCTACATTCGCGGGGGGGCTAAACGGCAGCCGGAGAGATCTAAAAAACGAGAACAAGGTAAGACCAAGTCGGAAGTGCTAGATGTTTCGTCAGTAGACTACGAAGAACTTCAAATCTCACGAAAATAACGGACTCCCCTCTCAATGGATTAAGGGCGCGTTTCACCTGATACGATCCCGATCACTTTCAGTCATTGCTCAGTATGGTTACGTCATGAATAATGGGCACTGAAGGTTTGACTGGTTTACAAGGGTTTTTGGTACGGTGGAAAGTCGTGATATCACGATGTTCAGCAGGATCGGCTACCCCGTAACGCGTCCTAGTGGAACCGATATGCTGCCAAAACTGAACATGACAAAACTAATGCAAACAAGAAAGGCATAAGACAAACAGGGTCGGCGCGACCCTGGCATGACCTGGCGCATCATGATGCTACAATGTGCAATTTTGGTTTTTGTGAAGGACTTGAAAAACCTAATGGAAATTTCGCGATACCGCGACGACGGACAAAACTGACCTGTAATATAGAAAACACCTGGTTTCAGGGTGAAAAAAACGTGGAAGCGCATGTAGGTCGATTCTTTTGGAGAAGGTTCGATCGCCCTACCTGCGGTGCGAGCCTGGTCGACAGGATTGTGAGAGGCGCGCGATCGGCCGTGTCGCGCAATTTTGCCGCATCAAACCGACCCCTGCACTTGCTGGTGGTTCCGCATCACAGCTGTCCGCTCATTTTGGGGCTCCAGAGGAATCTGAGAGGGTTACCCTATTATGAATAATATCGTAGTATATACTTGGGGTTACAATAATATATGCATACAATAGACATACCCATGTTACTTTGCAATTACTATACAGACATTGCTTCCTCAATTATGAGGGGATTCAACTCGAGGTTATAGGTGCCTCGCTCATAGAGTAAGACGCCGTGCTGCGACCATTGTTCTAAGAAAAAATGCAGATGGCGCACCATTGAGGAGGCTTCAGAGTTGCACATCCACGTGACTTTTTGAAACGTCCCCAGGAGGGGATACAGAGGGGCATGCCATGCCACTCTGCCATTTTTAGGAAGGGATGCAGAGGGGCATGCCGGCGAAGAGGCTCTGGGAGCGGCACATCCAGTTGCGGTTGAGCTGGCCCACGAGCGGCGGCTGGCGCTGAAACTGCACCACCACCAACGACGCACAGCTGTCCCCCCCCGCCACCGTGTACCGCCGGTTCGCCACCGTCTTCGACCGCGCTTTACCGCACGCCACCGCTCCCAACGGCGTGCCGGCGACACAGATCTGGAGGGTTGGAAAGGGAGGGAGGGAGGGAGGGAGGGAGGGAGGGAGGGAGGGAGGGAGGGAGGGGAGGGAGGGAGGGAGGGAGGGATGGTGCGAGACTTGAGCGATTTTTGTGGCGAGTTCTGCACTTCTTTGTCCCTAGTGCCACACCTGCTCACACCACACCCACTAGAGCCAACCCGCTTTGTGCTGTTGGCCCAGCCTGCTGCCGACTGGGTTATATGAGCATGTTTGTACGGTAGGTAGCACACCCATATACCTCCTAGGATGCACCTGCAGCCCTTCCGCACTCACCCGAAGAACGAACCCAGTGCCCCACCAACAATCTCCCCTTCATTGGTGTCGTTCCCCTCTCACTTGGGGATTGTTAAAGCACTGGTGCTCACAAGGCACACACCGGGATTCGAACCCGAGACCTTTGGCTCTGATACCACTTGTTGGCCCAACCTGCTACCAACTGGGTTAAAAATGCATGTTTGTGTGATGGGTAACACGACCATAACCCCTCCACAATGCAACTCTAACCCTCCCACACACAACTGGGGAAGAATCCTAGTGCCCCACCAACATGTGGCACCCCCTTTTAGTCCCATTCTTTGTTGCAAAAGACGCTGGGGACGTCCTGCGTCTTGCGTCTGGACGCAGCGTCCAGACGCTGGGACGCAGTTCGCTCGCCAAGACGTATGACGCTTGGCGTTTTTTTTTCCGGGCTGACCGATTTTTGTTGTTTTGCCCCAGCGCGAAATTGACATTCGCGATTTCGACGTGACTGTCAATTTCGTGTCATGTCGACCCCCCCGAACCCATTTCGACCATCAAAAACACCCTAGTGGGTTTACCACCACAATTCTCCTTCGTCAACCCTGAACCCTAAAATTTTGAAGGGGACAATTTTGCCTCAAATGTGTGCAACGTCGTTCCCCCCCCCCCCCCCCCCCCCCCCCCCCCCCCCCTTCCCATGCCCTATAACATGGTTTTTTTGCTGCCCGGTGGTTTCTTTTTCCCTGCCCGGGCATGCGTATTTTTCAGCGTCTCCCAGGCTCTCATAAAGCGTCCTGCGTCTAAGACGCTGCGTTTGGACGCCAAGGTACCCTTCTCATAGGTACCTCGGAAGCGGTGCGGTGAGCAAGGTGAGGGTGTCCCAGTTGATCGGGGGGGGGGGTTGAGGCGGAAGAGGCCGAGCCACGACATGCCCCACCAGTTGATCCCATCCCTCAAGCCAACCCCTCAAGCAACCCCGTAGCACCATCCCCGCTAACACACCCCCTTTTAGGTACCTCGGAGGCAGTGAGGGCGTTGATTGTGTCGCAGTTGATGCCGGGGTTGAGACGGTAGAGGTCGAACCACGTCACGCCGTACGTTGATACGATGCTGGCGCAGGTGACCCACTGGCTGACTGGCTGGTCCGTGCACAGATTGTAGTCCGCTGCTCCTGACACTGCGTCCCCAACTTGGATGCAGATCTGCAGAGGAGGAGGGGGGGATAACAGTGTAAGAGAGGGGAGGAGGGGGGAAGAGGGTAGGTGACCCACTGGTTGGCCGGCTGGTAGTTGGTGCATAGATTGTAATCCGATGCTCCTGACACCGCGTCCCCAACTTGAATGCAGATCTGCAGAGGAGGAGGGGGGGATAACAGTGTAAGAGAGGGGAGGAGGGGGGAAGAGGGCAGGTGACCCACTGGTTGGCCGGCTGGTAGTTGGTGCATAGATTGTAATCCACTGCTCCTGACACCGCGTCCCCAACTTGAATGCAGATCTGCAGAAGGGGGAAGAGAGAGGAGAGGAGAGAAGAGTGGGAAGCTTGAGCAGTCGAGAATGGGGTTGATGGTCATGCCGTGTTAGAGAGGCCAGAGGGGAGAGCGGAGCACCTAGGCCAATTGCTGACGTGATAACAGAAGTGTTTTGAGACGTCTTAAATCACTTGAGCAGTCGAGGCTGGGGTTGATGGTCATGCCGTGTTAGAGAGGCCAGAGGGGAGAGTCGAGCATATGAGCCAATTGCTGATGTTGACGCTCATGCTGTTGACGCAAACACGATTAAAGCCCATGATATCCCCTTCATTCCCCACTCCCCCCCCCTCTCCTGATACACCAGTGAGAGCGCCCTGCTCCCCACTCGCCTCACCTGCTGGTTGGGCGTGAGGCTTGAGCAGTCAAGGCTGGGGTTGATGGTCGTGACGTCTATGCCAAAGCGATCGTTGATGGCATCACAGCTCTGTGCCGCTGCATCCGCCTGGGGTAGGAGGGGAGCAGAAACGGGGAAAGGGAGGGGGAAGGGGAAGGGGAGGGAGAGGGGAAGGGGGAGGGGGAGGGGGAGGGGGAGGGGGAGGGGGAGGGAAGTAGGAAAAGAGAGGAGGGGAGGGTGTAAGAAGCATGAATTGATGGTCATGACATCTATACCAAAGAGGGTGTTGATGGGATCACAGCTCTTTGCTGCTGCATCCGCCTGGGGGGAATGAGGAAAGGGATGCGAAGGGAGGGGGAGAGGGGAGACATTTAGCGCACCTGCACCGAAGGGACATGAAACACTCTTGGGAAAATTGTGACGCACCTGGGAAGAATGTAGGCACCGACCTGGGTGACGTAGTAGCGCACATGTAACGCACTTGTACCGCACTGGGAGACATGTATCGCAACTGGGCGAGATGTAACACATATGGGTAAACAGAGTAGCTCACATGTAAACGCATCTATTTGAAATGAAACACACCTTGATGACAGAGTAGCGCACATGTAACACACCTGGGAGGCATGTAACGCACCTGGTTGACAGAGTACCGCACATGTAACGCACATCGGCGACACGTAACGTACCTCGGTGACATGTAACGTGAGACATGTAACGCACCTGGGTGACAGTGTAGCGCACGTGGCACACTTGAGCCGAGGAGGGGATGGAGATGTTGAGCTCCTGACCCACTTTGAGGTCTTCACAGTCCACTCCCTGAGGGATGGAGGGGAGAATGGAGGGGGTGAAAGGGTAGTGATGGATGGAGTTGAGAGACCGAGAGGCCAATAGGCCGAGAGGTTGAGCTCCTCACCCGCCTTTAGATTGTCACAGTCCACTCCCTGAGGAATGGAGAGCAGTGGGTTGGAAGGGAGAAGGGAATGAGGAAACAAATTAGGGTAGGGTAAGCAAAGGGCAAGGGCAAAGTGATGAGAGCGGAAGAGAAAGCTCCAATCGCTAAGCTCCAATCGCTCTCCATGCTCACTAACCCTAAACCCGAAACACTGCCCATCCAACTCTACAGTCATCGCTTTTATCCCTCTCATTTCTCTCATCACTGCTCGTACTCCCATTCTGCGACAGCAGCTGCCCTTGACACTCTTATTGGTCTCATTTCTTCATGTACCTCATTTGCAGCAGGAACTGCTCTCACATCGTTCTGCTGTAGGAACTGCTCTCATCTCTCTCTCTCTCTCTCTCTGCTCTCACATCGTTTTGCTGTAGGAACTGCTCTCATATCTCTCATCAATCTTGCCACTCTCATCACTCTCACCTCGTTCTGCAGCAGGAACTGCTCTCATATCTCTCATATCCCTCCCTCTCCTTGCATCGTTCTGCAGGAGGAACTGCTCCTGGGTGAGGCCGATGAGGCCAGAGATAGCGCCACACGTCTCCCCCCCCTGCACTGTGTACGCCCTCTGGACTGTTGGCGCTGCTCTCGTTGAAATCAGCACCATGCCAGGGATGGGATGGGATGGGATGGGATGGGATATTGATGGGTGTCAAACTTTGATCGTGCAAATGATGTTTGAATGCATGCAACAGCAGCAGTGCACAGCATGTTTGAATTGCAATTCATGATTTGACACACTCGTTGACATGAACACCTGCCCATGTGATGGATCGAATGTGTGCGATGGGATGTGTGCGATGGGATGTGTCACGTGTGGGCCGTGGGATGTCATATTGTGAGTGCATTCAAACGGATGAATAGGTACCAAATATATAGATATCCTTCCGCTTCATCCTTGTTGAACCATACCCCTCTCGTAGAAGCCCTCCTCTTCTCTCTAGCTCACCAGGCACGCAGGTGGTCTGGCCAGAGGCGAGCAGACTGGCTTTGTAGTTGGGCGGGCAGAGGCACGAGTAGCCGCCGTCGCCGCTGTTGATGCACTGCCCCACGGCACACGGGTTGTTGGGTAGGACACTGCAGACGTCGACTGGAAAGGGAGGGGGTGGAGGGAAAGGGGCGTGGGGAAAAAGGGGGATGAGAGACGGGTGTTGGGAATGAGACAGGGTAGGTGCTGCTTGGTGCTGTTTGGTGCTGATGAGATGCACTGCATTGCCCAACGGCGCAGGGGTTGTTAGGCAGCATGCTGCAGACATCGACTGTGTGGGAGGGGTGGGTGGAGGAAATGGAGTTGAATCTACCGAGGAGGGGAGAAGCGAGCAAGCTGGGGGGCATGTGTCATTGCGTGCATGGGGCATGGGGCATGGGGCATGGGGCATGGGGCAGAAGCAGCATGCAGTTTCTGAGAATTCTCGAAAACCAGCTCATCCCGACCACCAAGCTCACCTTCCCAAGCCTAGCCTCTGAGCAGAAAAACCTTAAAAGTGCCAAAACATCCCAAGAGCCTAAAGGGCCAAGAAAACACCCCTCCCATCCCACAAGGGACCACTCACCAACGGTGCATGTGGGTGTGCCGTCGCGGTTGACAGCGGGCGCCAGCAGGTCCGTGCACTGACACGTGTACTTGCCGTTGCCACTCCCGTCCGCCACACATGTGCCTCCCCCACACGGCGACGTGCCGCAAGGGTCCGTGGTCTGGCGGGCTGGCGAGGGGTTAGAGGGTGTGGAGAGGGGAGGAAAGAAGGAAAGGAGGGAGTTTTCAAGAAGGGTGACGCTTCTTGTCAATCACACACGTGCCCCCCCCACACGGCGACATGCTGCAGGGGTCCGTGCTCCGGCGGGCTGGCGAGGGGTATGGGTGGAGAGAAGGGAAGGGGGAAAGGGTATGCCCTGACGCTTCTTGTAAATCATATACGTGCCTCCGCCACAGGGCGACGTGCCGCAGGGGTCCGTGCTCTGGCGGGCTGGCGAGATGGTATGGGTGGGGAGAGTAAGGAGGAGAAGAGGGGAACGGGGGAAAAACGAGAGAAATGAGCGGGATTGGATCCCATTGCACCATCAGAATAAGAAAGAAAGAACGAAATAGAGAAGGGAAAAGAGAAAAATAAATAAATATAGAAACAATCAAAGAAAAGTAAAAAAAAAAAAAAAAAAAAAAAAAAAAAAACAAGTACAAGGGGGTAAAAAGTGGAATTGGATGGCTCCCTCAACATTCCCAACAGCGTACAGCCCTCGATTCACCAGCATGCCACACGTGCCGAACGCATCACCCTCCATGCGAATCCGCATGTATCCATTCTCGCCCCACTGCGGCCCCCAGCTGTTCTTCAGAATGAAGTAGTTGTTCCATTGGCCCGGCCCCTCATAGTTATACCCCACGGCCAGCATCACGTGGTCCAGCAGCCCCGTGTTGTTCGTCGCTGTGGCCGTCGCCCTTAACCCCTGGCCCTGCGTGTCCCCCCAGACCTCCCCCACGGGGCTGTAGCAGTCCCAGCCCTGGTAGATGCCCTCCTGTGAGGGGAGGGGGCGAGGGAGAGAGGGAGGGAGGCAAGGAAAGAGACAACGACGGAGACAGGAAAGTTTCAAGCCCTCAACTTCCCCACGGGGCTGTAGCAGTCCCAGCCCTGGTAGATGCCCTCCTGTAAGGGGAGGGGGCGAGGCAGGGAGGGTGGATGGATGGGCGGGTGGGAAGGAGGGAAGAGTAGGAAGGAGGGAAGAGTAGTTCAATTTCTCGAAGACTGTACGACAGCAGCAGCAGCGGATTGGCGGCGGGAGAGGAGGCAGCAGCGGAACAGCAACTCACCGAGTAATCGATAAAGTCTTGGGAGGAGGCGCGGATGGTGACGATAACGGGCTGCTTTTGCAGCGCGAGAATGAGCCCCAGCGGCCCCGGTAGCGGCACCTGCTCGTACATGCTGATGTTCCACCTTTCCTGAGAGCGGTGGAGAGGGGTGAGGGGCGGTAGGGGAGGGAGAGGGAGCACGGATGTGATGAGAAAGAGAGAACAGCATGCGAGAAAGAGGGGTCCTGGTAGAGTCACCTGCTCGTTCCACTTGTCCTGAGATCAGGGGGAAAGGGAAGGGTGCGGGGTGGTAGGGAGGAGAAAGCGCATGCAAGGAAGAGAACAACTCAAAACGAACTCACCTCACCGCATCCTTCTTGGTGCTGCACTACCAGCTGACCCTTCTCTCACTTCCCGCTGACCCTTCTCTCACTTCCCGCTGACCCTTCTCTCACTTCCCGCTGACCCTTCTCTCACTTCCCGCTGACCCTTCTCTCACTTCCCGCTGACCCTTCTCTCACTTCCCGCTGACCCTTCTCTCACTTCCCGCTGACCCTTCTCTCACTTCCCGCTGACCCTTCTCTCACTTCCCGCTGACCCTTCTCTCACTTCCCGCTGACCCCCGTGTAAGTGCATCTCTCTTCGATCTGCAGCCCGTTCTTCACGGCATACTGCACCGCAGCTTCAGAGTACCGAGGTGCATTTAGGGTGCCGAGGTGCGTTTCGGGTACTGAGGTGCATTTCGGGTCGATTCAAAACTCACCGCATCCTTCTTGGTGCTGCACTTGCCGCTGACCCCAGTATACTCATACTCCGTTTCATCCTGCAGCCCGTACTTCACGGCATACTGCAGGGCAGCCTCGGGGTACCCCCCCCGGCACGTGGCAGCAGAGCCAGTGCAGTCCACCAGCTGCTGCACCGACAGCCTCGTCCCGCCAGGGAACACATCATCGTCCGTCTCTTTGAGCTTCGCATACGCGCCCTGCACTGCCTTGGCTGTCGCGTACGCCCAGCACGACCCTGGGCGAGGAGAGGGAGGGGAGAGGAGGGGGGGGGGGGAAGGGAGGGTGAGTTTGGCATACGCGCCCTGGACCGCCTTGGCTGCCGCGTACGCCCAGCAGGACCCTGGGCGAGAAGGGGGGGGAAGGACCGGGTGGGGGGAGGATGGGATGGGGAGGGATGCGAGGTTGTTGTGGGGAACGACGAGTTCGGTCCGTTTCCACGACTTTAGCATATGCGGCCTGGATCACCCTGGCTGCCGCGTACGCCCAGCAGGAACCTGCAAAAAAGGGAGGAGTCAACGCACGCCGACAGAGTCAAGACAGGTCAACAGCAGTCAACGCACTTCGCCAGCAGTCAAAACAGGTCAACATAAGTCAACGGGAGTCAACGAGTGTCAAAGAGAGTCAACGGGAGTCAACACGTGTCAACGGGAGTCCACGCGTGTCAACGGGGGTCCACGCGTGTCAACAGGAGTCCACGAGTGTCAACACGAGTCCACAGGTCTCCACAGGAGTCAACGCGGATCAACAGGAGTCAACGCGGGTCAACAGGAGTCAACACGAGTTAACAGGAGTGAGCGGTCAACAGGGGTCAACAGCAGTCTACAGCACGCACCGCAGTTGCCCTGGTCGAAATCGTCTTCAGAGAAATAGGAGCGGTGGTCCACACTCTTATTGAAATCCCACGTGAGCTTCTGGGAGGTGGCGTCGAGCGTGAGGCCCACGGTGAGGTAGCGCGAGACGGTGTTGAGATTGGGCAGCTTGGCGAGATCCTTGGTCGTGGGGGGGACGTACCCCAGACTGCGGTCTGGCGGTGGAGGAAGAGAGGAGGGACAGGGGAAGGGGGGGAACGGGAGGAGGAAGGAGAGTGAGGGGGAGGCGAGTAGGAGTTCACCTTCCCAAAGCAACTTACGAGCAAAAAAATCACATTCACAATCCCCGCCCAGACTCCCTTGAGAACCGTCGAACCATGCCCTTTATCCCATTCCACCGCACTCCACCCCTCGTTGCGTCCCCCCGCGGCTCTCACCAACGGTTGTGGTGTTCCCGCGCGCGCTGTTCCCCTTGCTCGATCCGTGCCCCTTCCCTCCGCCTCCCGCCGCCTGCTGAATCAGCTTCTGCACCCGCCGCTTCACCGTCGCGAGCCACTTTTGGGCCGCCGCGGCGAACGCGTCCTTAGTTAAGTACGAGGCGCGTTCGGGCGGCTTATCGACGCCCGTCAGGTCCGCGCTGCCCATCAGCGGCGCGAGGGCTTTAATCTCCTGCGTCGTCTTCGCGTCCACCGCCAGCGCCGCAAGGTCCGACGCCGCCGCACCAGCTGTCGCGTCGGCAGAGGTCGCGGTGCCGGCGGTGGTCGCGGTGCCGGCGGAGTCGGCGTCTGTCATTGTACCGAGTGTGTCTGTAATGAGGAGGGGCGTGCGTGGAGGGAAAGGAGAGAAAAGGAGAGCGAGGAAGGAGGGGCTGAGGAGGGTGGAACGTGGGGCGGAGAACTGCTTGAAGCAAAACGCCATTCGGAGGCGGCTGTCACACTTACGCCGTCGTCCTCCGTGATTTCTGTTGTAGAGGACTCTCCTCTACTTTGCAGGAACTGGGAGTTGTTCTAAACGATAGAGCTCTGTCTTAGCTTTCCAACGAGCCGTCAAACACGTCGATCGCCTAAGTATTCTCCGAGATATAGGCGTTCACGTGCTAGGTGGTGCTCTTGAATGCAAGTAAAGAAGCTCTCTGGAATTTGTGTTCGAATGTACCTTGTACAAAGAACTTTGAGTTTCACTATGATGGCATGCAATACAAAGAAAACAGATTTATAGCATGCAAACAAGATCGAATCGCACAAGTAACCTCGAACCGCTACACTCGCGAATGTTCGAGTAACATCGAAAGGGTGAAATTCAACTCTCGAATTTCACCGATCCGAATTCTCCTTGGGTCTCGAATGTTCCTGGTGCTGCCATGTGGCACCGAATCGAATGGGTCTTCCGAAGTCAATCCTCAACCCCACGCAAACCTGCAACTCACTCGAAGGTGAGCACAAGTCACACATTCGGTGGGTTGGGGGCATACAAACGCCCCACCACCACCTTGCTTCCAACACACGTAATCTCCAACACTCCCCCTTGCACCCAACCCACTAGGTGTGCAAACCAACATGCTCATAGCATGCACGGGATGAATCTTTAGGGGGTGGTTCCATGAGAGATTTCGCGTGTTCATCATCACCCTTGGTTGCGAAGCAAAATGCCGCGCCCTCCTTATCCGTCTCCCCAACGACTACCGTAGCGTAGTCGTTGTACTTGGAGGGAGGACGAACCTCACGACGCTCGCGGGTCAAGGCCAATGGTAGGGAGGAAGGTGTGGAGGTAGTTGCCGCCTCGGTTGGTGACACCTCCACGACATCATCAATGCTCTCCTTGTTGTTCGCTCCCCCTCCATCGGCTTCCTTCTCCACTTGAGGTGGAGTCTCACTCTCTTCAACCTCCTCTCGTGGCGGAAGGATGAAGGTGAGTTGTTGAGTGGGTTTCTCCTTCGACGGGAACTTGTCTTCATCGAAGACCACGTCCCGAGACGTGACGACGCACTTGTCGCCCAAGTCCCACACTCGCCACGCACGCTCGTTCGCCGCAATTCCCAAGTAGATCGCCGCACGAGCCTTCGGTTGCAACTTGTGGCGAAGGGGATCCGGTACATGGTAGTAGCAAAGGCACCCAAAGGTGCGAAGGCGGGATAGGTTCGGCTTCGTTCCGGTCCATGCTTCGAACGGAGTCATTCCCGGGAGCACCTTCATCGGCAAACGGTTGCGAATCCACGCCGCTAGCGAACTCGCCTCGCCCCACCACTCTTTCCCAAGCTTGGAGTGTTGAAGAAGAGAACGAACGGCTTCCACCAACGTGCGATTAAGCCGCTCCGCCGCTCCATTTTGTTGGGGTGTGTAGGGTGTTGTGACGTCGTGCTTAATGCCCTTGCACTTCATCCATTTCTCGAGCTCCGCATTCACGAATTCGCCACCACCATCGGTGCGAATACACTTGATCCGCTTCTTGTCATCGTCGCAAACTTCGAGCGCCCACTCTTGAATCGCCTTGACCGCATCTCCCTTAGCCTTCAAAAGTCGGGTCCAACACATCCGCGTCGCGTCGTCGAGCATCACTAAGAGGAACCGCGCTCCTCCCTTTGATGCATGCCGCATCGGTCCACACACGTCCATGTGAACAAGTGCAAGCGGGTCCTTAGCGAGGGGTGACGTTCGGCTACCGAATGGCTTGCGAGCCATTTTTCCTTCGACACACGCCGCGCACACGCCCTTCTCGTCGTCGCCGGCGATCACGTCGACTCCCTTCGCAAGTCCTTTGTTGGCCAACTCCTTGACCGAGTCGTAGTTGGCGTGCGCAAGCCGATTATGCCACGCCTTGAGAGTCGCCTTGGAGCCTTGCGCCACGTTGGATGAAGCCGCTCTCAGGTACGTCTTGAGTTGGTAGATATCTCCGTTGAGAACACCTTGCGCGAATTGCTCCCCCTTCCAAAAGAGGTTCATTTTCGCACCGTCGATCGTGGCGATCACTCCCTTCTTCGCAAGTTGCGGGACGGATAGAAGGTTCACCTTCACCCCCGGGACGTGAAACACGTTCGTCACGTCCACCGGACCGCTATCGACGATGAGGCGCGTACTCCCAACTCCGACCACCGGTAGCGATTCGTTGTTTCCGAACACGATGCTCGTGACGTCTCCCGGAGCGCCAATGTTGTTGAGGAGCGACGCCGAGTGCGTCATGTGTTGCGTTGCGCCGGTATCGAGGAACCACGCGTCGCTTGGAGTTTTGTTCCCATTGCCGGCCACTAACACGAGCGACTCCTTTGAATCATCGGCCTCGCCGGATGCCGTGTGCGCGTTGCCCTCTTGGTCCCGCGCCATCGATGGAGTCCAATCGCTCGGCCGCTTTCGACACTCACGCCAAAAGTGTCCCGGTTTGCGGCAATAGTGACACTTGCCGCGATGCTCGCTCCCACCGGACGATTCCTTCGTTGCGTCCTTGCTCCACTTGGACTTCTTTCCGGAACTCCCTCCGGAGTACATGGCGGCACCCTCGCTCTCATTAGCGAATTGTCGGCGACGCGATTCTTCATGGAGAAGCCGACCAACCACCATTTCCTTCGTCCAAGTGTCTTGCACGCTATCGAGTGTCGTAATCACCGTCGACCACTCTTCCGGAAGGCCGCAAAGCAAGGTGAGAATCCAATCCTCCTCCGTGACCGTTCCACCGAGGTCCATGAACGTTTCCCCGAGTTCCTCCACACGAGTCGCAAACTCGTGCATCGATTCGCCCGCGCGCATCTTCACCGTGTAGAACGCATTCCGGGCTAGGATCTTGCCGTGGAGAGTCTTGTTCACGTGGATGGTCTCGAGCCGCTTCCACGCTTCATGCGCCGACGCTTCGAGCTTGATGCACATGCGCACCGAGCTCACGAGATTGATGCCGATGCGCGAAATCAACGTAGCGAACGCCTTTTGGTCCTTCTTCTTCCATGCCGCGATGCCGCTCTCATCGTCCGGCTTCTTCTCCGTTCCATCGAAGAAACCCCAAAGTCCCCGCTCCATCATGAGCACTTGGAACTTAAACTTCCACGCGGAGTAGTTTTGTCCCGTGAAAATCGGTACCGCCGACGTGTCGAACATCGTCGCGGTTGCCCAGGGTTCGCCGGAATTTACAACGACACCATCCAAGGAAGTGCGGGAGGCCTCGCTTGAAGTCATCATGCGTGCTCCTTGTCGCGCGCGTAGACTCCTCCGACCAGCTCTGATACCACTGTTGTAGAGGACTCTCCTCTAATTTGCAGGAACTGGGAGTTAACCTAAACGATAGAGCTCTGTCTTAGCTTTCCAACGAGCCGTCAAACACGTCGATCGCCTAAGTATTCTCCGAGATATAGGCGTTCACGTGCTAGGTGGTGCTCTTGAATGCAAGTAAAGAAGCTCTCTGGAATTTGTGTTCGAATGTACCTTGTACAAAGAACTCTGAGTTTCACTATGATGGCATGCAATACAAAGAAAACAGAGTTATAGCATGCAAACAAGATCGAATCGCACAAGTAACCTCGAACCGCTACACTCGCGAATGTTCGAGTAACATCGAAAGGGTGAAATTCGAATTTCACCGATCCGAATTCTCCTTGGGACTCGAATGTTCCTGGTGCTGCCATGTGGCACCGAATCGAATGGGTCTTCCGAAGTCAATCCTCAACCCCACGCAAACCTGCAACTCACTCGAAGGTGAGCACAAGTCACACATTCGGTGGGTTGGGGGCATACAAACGCCCCACCACCACCTTGCTTCCAACACACGTAATCTCCAACAATTTCCGTCGCCCAGCGTCGTCTACCCTTGCGTACCGTCGCACAGCCTCGTCCAACGTTGCTTACCGTCGCACAGCCTTGTCCACCGGGCCGTCTCCTTCCCCATTCCAAACGGAGCGGATACAGCCTTCATTTTACGCGAGCGCGCCACGTCAGCCTAGCGCCAGCATGCTAGGCCGCTTACCTATTCGCCGGCCAGCGGCGGCGGGGCCGACAGTTATTATCAGTAAGACTGCTGCTAGCCGAAGCGCGTGGGCTGGAATCGCCGAGCCGCGACGCTCCATCGTGTCACAAGCTGCACAGCCTCCCCCCAGTAGAAGTATCGCGCCGCTGTCGCACGGGATGTACAAGCCTGGATAACTGAATCCCTGGGCTATGCAGACGCGTGGGCAATCCCGTGTCGGGAGCGCAATGTGAATGAGGAAAGGATGCACGCGGCTCGCCGGTGAGTCGGACTGTCGTCGACGTGGCGAATATTACGTCTAGTTTATGTCACTTGTACTGACACGTGGCCTCGTTTTAACTTCGTGCGAGATTCGCGCTCTTACGGCGGCGTGTGACGAAAACTCCAGAGGAGTTAGGTAGTAAAATACTTTTTTTCGAGAGGTACTAGCAGGCGTAGAAGGAACTCGAGGAAGATTACCATGCAATGACGCAAACTTCTAACGACGTGCGAATATCAAGACAACCAAACTTGTTAGGAAGCGACACCTCGAGCAGGTCAAGCGAATCCTGATTTGTACGGGTTCGGCTACAAAACTCATTGCCACACCAGAACCAACTCGTGTTGCACTTTGTACTGTAGACTCCCCGAAGGTCAGAGCAACTTCAATTCGCGCTGCGGATAATTAGTGGTGCGCTGTGTGCACTGTGCTTCATGTGGTGTGGTGGACCAGCAGAGCAGGGAGGGTCATAGCAGCGTGTTTTGCGGCATGGCAGAACAGCAGCTTGGATTGGCCTGGGCGTGTCCTGCGCATTCACTTCACTCAACGTGGGGGGCTCAGGTGGAAGAAATGAGGCGAAATCAACAGCTGTCCCGGACTCGCTCTGCGAGTGAGTAGCGTCAGGTGAACGCGCAGTCATCCACTGAGGCCTTTGATGCAAAGATTTGGTTCCAAGTTTGCATGAATCCACAAACAGCCACGGACGGGCAGCTTCAAACACTTCTTACGAGAGACTAGACAGAAAATACCCACCTTCCAGTGGTGAAAAGGTATGTTTGCTGCGACAAACCATAGCTGATTCTAGCATATTGCATACAAAGCACAGTGACATTTCCCTTGGCTACGTGATAATTTTATGAACGAAACTTTGAGTACGTGGAAGAAAATCGTCGCGCCGCTTGAATGAGAAATTTCACCACCTGAAAGATCGAGCGGCTCGAGGAACCACCTGTGAGCAGCACATCCGATTGCCGCGCTTCCCGTGGGTTCGCCACCGCAATCTTCGGTGTGGAGTATCCAACCTGCGGTTTGGGGTGCGAAACTCCCCTGGTTCGTGATGGAAATCTATCGATGTCACTTTGTAACGCGTGTATATACACTACACTAGAACTGTACGGGACAGCACAGCTCAAGTCAAATGCAATTGCCAAAGACTTTGTTTGTTAATTGTAGGTGCTTATAGGAATCTGCCCGAACAGACTCAAGCGAGGTTGCTTTCTTCTCCAACTGTGGCTAGTTTCCATTGACGCCGATCGGAATTGCGTCTTGCATAGTGGTCTCCTTTCAAAATTATTCACTGCCACTGTCTCTGACATGTTTCTTCTACGCCTGCCCAGTGCCCACCTCTCAAACCCTCCAGTTTCGGCTTCGTTTATGTGGCTGCTTCTCGGCAATTGCCATCACACTTGCGCGGATCGAGCCGCCATAAACGCGTGACTCGCGACGAGGCCACGTGTCAGTAAATGTGGCATAATCCAGATATACTGTTCGCCACGGCCGCGGACACTACTAGGTCGTGATTCGAGAGTCCACGACGCCTCGACAGCTCGACTCACCCGCGGGCCGCGCGCATTTCTCCCCCGCCCCTCCGCATCCCGTCCCACGCGCAGTCTTTCCCACTTCCGCGTTCTGCTCCCGCGCGCATTCTTTCCCCCGTCCGCATTCCGCTCCCTCGCGCATACTTTCCCCCATCCGCATTCCGCTCCCGCGCACATTCAGTAGTGCTGACGCGTCTGCATAGTCCAAGCGCGCAGCAATCCAGACTCGCGCATCCCGTGCTCCTGCCTGGATTCAGTATCGCACATTCAGTAGTGCTCCAGCGCCGCGATACTCCTGGGGGGAGGTGTGCGGCCTTTGAGTCGAATCAAAAGTCACATAGTCCAGGACACACAGCAATCGAGACTTGCTCATCCCGTGCTCCAGCGGCGCGATGCTCCTGGGGGGAGGTGTGCGGCCTTCTGACACCATGGATCGTCGCGGCTCGACGTGTCCAGCCCACGCGCTTCGACTAGTAGCAGTCTTACTGATCATCACTGTCGCCCCCGCCGCCGCTGGCCGACGGATAGGTAAGCGGCCTGTCATGCTGACGTGGAGTTGACGTGGCGCGGCGCTTGGTTGAAATACATTTTGTACCCGCTCCGTTTGGAGTCTGAAAGGAGACGGTGGACAACGCTCGACGACGGTTAGAAACGGTGGACGACGGCGGAAGTGTGGCAGCCGTCCGGCAGCCAGATCAGCAAACGCAGCGCGCTCTTTTCCGCTCCACGCGGCGGCGTTCATCGGTCAGCGCGGCACCGCCGCGACTCCGTGACTGATCACCATGTCTTGCACCAATTTTCGTGCTTTACCGCGTGGCACCGCATGACACCGCGCCAAACTCACATCGCCAAACCCAGACCGTAAAGTGCAACATTCCACCCTATGCCGCTCGTTTCTTACCACCTCCTCCGCCTGTCTTTCCTCCCTCCCCCTTTTTCTTCTTTCCCTCCCCCGCCCTCCCTCCCCCTCTTTTCCCCTCCCGCATCCCCGTCCTCAATACAGACACACTTGGTACAGCGATAAACGCGGACTCTGGCACCGCAACCGCCGGCACCGCGACGTCTGTCGACGCGACAGCTGGCGCGGCGGCATCGGACCTCGCGGCGCTGGCCGTGGACGCGAAGACGAAGCAGGAGATTAAAGCCCTCGCGCCGCTGATTGGCAGCGTGGACCTGGCGGGCGTCGATAAGCCGCCCAAACGCGCGTCGTACTTAACTAAAGACGCGTTCGTGAAGGCGGTTCGCAAGTGGATCGCGACGGTGAAGCGGCGCGTGCAGGCGCTGCAGAAGCAGATTCGGCAGGCGGGGGGAGGCAGTGGGCGCGGAATGAGCACGGGGAACAGCGCGCGCGGGAACACCACAGCTGTTGGTGAGTGAGAGTCCCGCGGGGGGGCGCAACAAGGGGTGGGGTGTGGTGGAATGGGGTGAAGGGTGTGAGGTGAAGGGTATGGGGTGACGCACTGCTGCTGCCGTGCGTGCTCAACACAAACCCGGCTGCTCTCCCTCTTCTCTCCCTCTTCTCTTCTCTCCCTCTTCTCTCCCTCTTCTCTCCCTCTTCTCTCCCTCTTCTCTCCCTCTTCTCTCCCTCTTCTCTCCCTCTTCTCTCCCTCTTCTCTCCCTCTTCTCTCCCTCTTCTCTCCCTCTTCTCTCCCTCTTCTCTCCCTCTTCTCTCCCTGCTCCTCCCCCATTCCCGTGCTTCCTGCGTTTCCCACTCCCCCACCCCCCCCACCAGACAAAAGTCTGGGCTACACTCCCCCCCCCAGCACGGATCTCGCCAAGCTGCCCAATCTCAACACCGTCTCAACTCCTCCCCCATTCCCTCACTCCCTACCCCTCCCCCACCCCCCCCACCAGACAAAAGTCTGGGCTACACTCCGCCCCCCATCATGGATCCCACCAAGCTGCCGAATCTCAACACCGTCTCGCGCTACCTCACCGTGGGCCTCACGCTCGACGCCACCACCCAGAAGCTCAGCTGGAGCCTAAACTGGTGCTGCTGCCGTGCGTTCTCACACAGAAACCCCTCTTCTCTCCCTGCTCCTGTCCCCTTCCCTCCGCTCCCCCCCCCCTCCCCCCACCAGACCCCAGTCTGGGCTACACTCCCCCCCCCATCATGGATCCCACCAAGCTGCCCAATCTCAACACCGTCTCGCGCTACCTCACCGTGGGTCTCACGCTCGACGCCACCACCCAGAAGCTCACGTGGGATTTCAAGCGCAGTGTGGACCACAGCTCGCTGTATTTGCCTGAAGACAATTTCGACCAGGGCAACTGTGGTGCGTGCTCCTGGCCTTCGTTGACTGTTGTTGACCTGCGTTGACTGGTGTTGACCTGATTTGCTGGGACTTCGATAGGAGTGTGGACCACCGCTCGCTGTTTTTGCCGGAAGACGGTTTTGACCAGGGCAACTGCGGTGCGTGCTGTAGACTGATGTTGACGCCGTTGACTTCAATTGACCGCGTTGACTACAGTTGACCTCGTTGACTTCAGTTGACTGCGTTGACTACAGTTGACCGCGTTGACTGCTGTGGACTGATGTGACTGCTGTTCAATTGCGTTGACCGCTGTTGACCTGTGTGATCTATGACGTATACAGGGCGTATTCCGAAGGAGTACTGCTGTCCTTGCAGCAGCTGGTTCACTGCACGGGCGCTGCTGCTGCTGCTGCTGCTGCTGCTGCTGCTGCTGCTGCTGCTGCTGCTGCTCCTGCAGCCACCCTCAAGCCACAACAACCACACCTCCCTCTCCCCTCCTCCTTGTCCTCCCAGGTTCCTGCTGGGCGTACGCGGCAGCCAAGGCGATTCAGGGCGCGTACGCTCTCTTCACAGACACGTGTCTCGAGGGGGCACCCTCCTCCCTCCTCCCCCCCCCCAAGCCACATCAACCACACCTCCCTTCTCCCCTCCTCCCTGCCTGCCCAGGTTCCTGCTGGGCGTACGCGGCAGCGAAGGCGATTCAGGGCGCGTATGCTCTCGACGCGGATACCGACTCGTTCCCCAACGGGACTCGGCTGTTGGTGCAGCAGCTGGTGGACTGCACTGGCGCTGCTGCTGCTGCTGCTGCTGCTGCTGCTGCTGCTGCTGCTGCTGCTGCTGCTGCTGCTGCTGCTGCTGCTGCTGCTGCTGCTGCTGCTGCTGCTGCTGCTGCTGCTGCTGCTGCTGCTGCTGCTGCTGCTGCCACTGCTGCCGCTCCTGCTGCCTCCTCAAACGCCACTATATCCTCGCCTTCCTTCCCCCCTCCCTTCCCCCCCTCCCCTGCTCCCCGTCCTCCCCCTCCCAGGTTCCTGCTGGGCATATGCAACAGCGCGGGCGATTCAGGGCGCGTATGCTCTCGACGCGGACACAGACTCGTTCCCCAATGGGACCCGGCTGTCAGTGCAGCAGCTGGTGGACTGCACGGGCGCTGCTGCCACGTGCCGGGGGGGGTACCCCGAGGCTGCTCTGCAGTATGCTGCCAAGAACGGGCTGCAGGACGAGGAGGGTTATGCTTACACGGGGGTCAACGGGAAGTGCGGCGTCAAGAAGGACATGGTGAGACGGATGGGAGGAGGGATGGGTGAGAACGGGCTGGCGAATGAAGAGGGAGTAAGAGATAGGCACACACACCTACACGGGGGTCAGCGGCAAGTGCGGCATCAATGTCTGAAGAGCAGGAGCCCGTGAGCCTGAGCTGGTTTTTGAGGATTCTCAAAAACGATTTTTGAGGCGCCTCAAAATGTCTGAAGAGAGCAGGAGCCCATGAGCCAGAGCTGGTTTTTGAGAATTCTCAAAAACCAGCAAGGAGACGGTGATTTTCCAGAGTCTAGCCAAAAGGTGCAGCATCACATCACGATGTCTCAAGAGGGCCCACGAGCCTGAGCCTGAGCCTGAGCCTGAGCCTGAGCCTGAGCCTGAGCCTGAGCCTCTACTGGGGCCGCCGCTGGGGCTTATTCCAAGTTGACCCTCTACAAGTTATACAAGTTTAACCAGGCTTCCATTTTTTCATTCTCATGGAGTTTGTCTCGCCGTCTGAATAACATCTAAGTTGATGGACATTAGTCCTCCGCAGCCCACCTGTTCTATAATAACAGCCGCTGGGGCTTATTCCAAGTGGACCCTCTACTGGGGCCGCGTGCTCAATGCTTGTCTCAAGCTCTCTCTTCCCTACCCCACTCTGCTCCCCCTCCACTACCGCCCCTCACCCCTCTCCACCGCTCTCTTAAGTGGAACATCTTGATGTACGAGCAGGTTCCACTACCGGGGCCGCTGGGGCTGGCGTCTGGACAATGCTCCCTCCTTCTTACCGTGTGCTTTTTCTTCCCTACCACTCATCACCCCTCTCCACCGCTCTCAGCCCAAGTTCAACATCAGCATGTACGAGCAGGTGCCACTGCCGGGGCCGCTGGGGCTCATTCTCGCGCTGCAGCAGCAGCCCGTTATCGTCACCATCCGCGCCTCCTCAGAGGATTTCATCAACTATGCGGTGAGTTGGGGGGTTCTGCTCCGGGTGGTGGTGCTGCTGCTGCTGCTGCTGCTGCCGCTGCCGCCGCTGCCGCCGCTGCCGCCGCTGCCGCCGCTGCCGCCGCTGCCGCCGCTGCCGCCGCTGCCGCCGCTGCCGCCGCTGCCGCCGCTGCCGCCGCTGCCGCCGCTGCCGCCGCTGCCGCCGCTGCCGCCGCTGCCGCCGCTGCCGCTGCCGCCGCCGCTGCCGCCGCCGCTGCCGCTGCCGCTGCCGCTGCCGCCGCTGCCGCTGCCGCTGCTGCCGCTGCCGCTGCTGCTGCCGCTGCTGCTGCTGCTGCTAAAGCTGCCGCCGCCGAGCAATTGTTGAGAATTCTCAAAAGTCGCTCACAAGAACATGGCCCCTCTTTCCTCCCCCGTCCCTCCCTCCCCCCTTCCCCTCACAGGGCGGTGTATACCAGGGCTGGGGCTGCTACAACCCGCTGGGGACCATCTTTGAAAGCAGACGGCCGGCTGCCACCGCTACAGCCACCAACAACACGGCTCTGCTGGACCACGTGATGCTGGCCGTGGGGTATAACTATGAGGCACCCGGCAGCTGGGCGAACTACTTCATTCTGAAGAACAGCTGGGGGCCGGACTGGGGCGAGGGCGGGTACATGAAGATTCGAATGGAGAATGGGCCGTTTGGCACGTGTGGCATGCTGGTCAACCGCGGGCTCTACCCCGTTGTCAAAGGTGAGTTAGGGGCCCTTTTCCCACTTCTAACCACCCTCTTGCTGGTCAACACATACTTACGCCGTTGCAGAGTACGTTTGGGATTTCTGTTGGTACGTACGTGACCAGGTATCTGCGCTCCTTAACCCCTTCTTTCGAGGCGCCTCAAGACTTTCTAAGGCGACTTTTGCGGCGCCTCAAAAGGAATGTTCTGCTGGTGCGAGACCATGAATCTACGCTCCTTAACCCCCTCTTTAGAGGCGCCCCGAAACTTTTGAGGCGACTTTTGAGGCGACTTTTGAGGCGACTTTTGAGGCGAATTTTGAGGCGACTTTTGAGGTGCCTCAAAAGGAATGTTCTGCTGGTACGACACTATGTATCCACACTCCTTAACCCCCTCTTTCCCCCTTTTTCCGCACCCCTTACCATCTCGCCCGTCCCCCAGAGCATGGACCCCTGCAGCATGTGCCCCCACCCCTGTGGGGGTGACGCACTCTCTTAGGTGCATTGACCCCTCCATTCACCCTTCTATAAACTCCTTTCCTCCCCTTGTTTCCTCTCTCCACACCCCCTACCATCTCGCCAGTTCCCCGAACCACAGACCCCTGCAGCACGTGCCCCTGTGGGGGTGACGCACTCTCTTAGGTGCATTGACCCCTCCATACACCCTTCTATAAACTCCCTTCCTCCCCTTGTTTCCTCTCTCCACACCCCCTACCATCTCCCCAGTTCCCCGGACCACAGACCCCTGCAACACGTGCCCCTGTGGGGGCGGCTCGTGTGTGGCGGACGCGAGTGGCAACGGCAAGTACACGTGTCCCCATCTCTCCTCCTTACTGTCTGCATCCTCCTTCCCATTCCCCTCCCCACACCCCTTACCATCTCCCCAGTTCCCCAGACCACAGACCCCTGCAACACGTGCCCCTGTGGGGGCGGCTCGTGTGTGGCGGACGCGAGTGGCAACGGCAAGTACACGTGTCCCCATCTCTCCTCCTTACTGTCTGCATCCTCCTTCCCATTCCCCTCTCCACACCCCTTACCATCTCCCCAGTTCCCCAGAGCACGGACCCCTGCAACACGTGTCCTTGTGGGGGCGGCACGTGTGTGGCGGACGCGAGTGGCAACGGCAAGTACACGTGTCAGTGCATGGATCGGCTAACGCCCGCTGTCAACCGCGACGGCACACCCACATGCACCGTCGGTGAGTTGTGGGATGAGAGTGGGTGATTTGACCCCTTGGGCTCTTGGGTTCCCTTTAGCTCTTGGGATGAGAGTGCACAGACCAGCTTTTCTTTAGCTCTTGGCGTGCTTTGACCCCTTGGCGTGCTTTGACCCCTTGGCGTGCTTTTTAACTCCTTTCCCTCCACCTCCTCCATCCTACACAGTCAACGTCTGCAGTGTGCTGCCCAACAACCCATGCGCCGTGGGGCAGAGCGTCAACAGCGACACTCAGCCCGTCTCAAATCCCCCTGCCTCTCATCGCCCTATCTCGTTCTCCCTCTTTTCTCCACTTCCTTCCCATACAGTCAACGTCTGCAGTGTGCTACCCAACAATCCCTGCGCCGTGGGGCAGAGCATCAACAGCGACACTCAGCTCCACTTCTCATTGCCCCACTTCTCATTGCCACACTTCTCCCTCCTTCCGCCGCAGTCAACGTCTGCAGTGTGCTACCCAACAACCCATGGGCCGTGGGGCAGTGCGTCAACAGCGGTGACCAACCCTACCCCGTCTCATCCCCCCACTCCTCTCGCATCGCATCTTTTCTTCCATCCCTCCTTTCCAGTCGACGTGTGCAGCGTGCTGCCCAACAACCCATGCGCCGTGGGGCAGTGCATCAACAGCGGCGACGGCGGTTACTCGTGCCTCTGCCCGCCCAACTACAAGACCAGCGCGCTTGCCTCCGGCCAGACCACCTGCGTGCCGGGTGAGCCTGGGAGTGTGGCGTGTGTTCTGTGGTGAGCTGGGGGAACGGGGGAGTGGTGAGCATTTGGGAGAGAGAGGGTAGGGGCGAGAAGAAGAGATGCATTTTTTTTTTTTTTTTTTTTTTTTCTTCTTCTTCTCTTGAATCACTCACTTTATCTGTCTGACATCCCACATGTGGCGTGGCAGAGATGGGAACGAGCACAGCAACAGCGGTTCAGGGCACGTACACAGTGCAGGGGGGAGAGACATGCGGCGCCATCTACGGTTTCATCGGCCTCACTCAGGAGCAGTTTCTAGAGCAGAATAAGGTATGAGTGATGAGCGATATGAGAGAAGTTTGTGGCACAGAACGAGGTATGAGGAGGAATGAGAGTGATCAGAGTGATAAGGGCCGTTGCTGCTGTTGAATGAGGTTGGAGCAGCAAAGAGAGCAATGAGAGCAATGAGAGCAAAGAGAGAGATGAGAGCAACGAGATCGATTGGAGCTTTCCGTGTTTCTTCCGCTCGTGTCTCGTTTCCCTCGCCCTTTCCCTTTTTTTGAGGCGCCTCGTATTTATTATGCATCTAATGTTTAAGCGCCTCATGTTTTTTAGGCGTCTGTTTCTTAAGCGCCTCAAAAACGCAGAATGAGGTTGGGGCAGCAATGAGAGCGATTGGAGCTTTCCGTGTTTCCTGTGCGATGAGATATGGAGTGGCGTGATATGAGTGAATTTTCGAGACGTGTCAAAATTCACTCATATCACGTCGCTTTTCCTCTGCGATGAGATATGGAGAGAGAGATTCTTCTTCTGCTCCTGTCTCGTTTTCCCTCGCCCTTTGCTTTCCTTCTGTCCATCGCCCTGCCCTTAAGTGGGAATGCATACCTGTATTGCGACAATATCAAGGCATGCCACGAGCACAACATCTCAGCAACTCAACATCTGAACATTTCAAGAACATATCGACATCTCAACTCCATCCATCCCTGCTCCTTTCCCTATCCTTTCCCCCCTCTACTCTCCCCTATCCCCGCTCCTTTCTCCGTCCTTTCCTCTCCATCCTTCAGAAAGTGGACTGTGAGAATCTCAAGTCAGGGGTGGTGCTCAACATCTCCATACCCTCCTCGGCTCAAGTCTGCCGCGTTCGCTACTCTGTCACCCAGGTGTGTTACATCACACATGTCGTCCGGGTGCGTTACATGTCGTCCGGGTGTGTTACATGTCATCCAGGTGCGTTACATGTTTCTCATGTGAGTTACAAGTCGGCCACGTGCGTTACATGTCACCCAACTATACTGTCACTCTCCCCTCTCAACCACTCTCTCCCCCATCTAACCCCATCCTCCCTCTCCCCTATGTACACGCATGCAACCATCAACGCTCACTTCTGTCCCCCCCCCCCCCCCCCCCCCCCTCCCTCCTAAATCCATCCTCATTCCCCCCAGGCGGATGCAGCAGCAAAGAGCTGTGATCCAATCAATAATCGTTTCGGCATCGACGTCACGACCATCAACCCCACCCTCGACTGCTCAAGCCTCGTGCCCAACCAGCAGGTGAGGCGACTGAGCGGTGTGGAGTGGGGGGGCTAGTGGTGTAGCAGGTAAAGGAGTGGGGGAGTGGGGGGCAGCATAGGCTTTAAGCGTGTTGGCATAGACGTCACGACCATCAACCCCAACCTCGACTGCTCAAGCCTCGTGCCCAATCAGCAGGTGAGGCAGGCGGTGGGGAGTGGGGCTGCTGGGGCAGCAGGTGAGGCGAATAGGGAGAGCAGCGGACCACAACCTGTACATGGATTACTTTCTCCCACTGTCATCCAGTGACCTACCTCCTCCCCTCTCCTCTCTTGCCTCTCAACCCTTCCCTCACCCTCTCCACCCCCCTCTCTCTCCCCACCTCAGATCTGCATTCAGGTGGGGGACGCGGTGTCAGGAGCAGCGGACTACAACCTGTGCACGAGCTACCTGCCGGTCAACGAGTGGACCACGTGTGCCAACGCCGTGGATTGGTACCAAATCTCGTGGTTCGACCTCTACCGCCTCAACCCCGGCATCAACTGCGACACGCTCACAGCACTCACCGCCTCCGAGGTACCAACATGATGGGGAGGTGGTGCTAGGGGGAGTGTGGCACTTGGAGTGCGAATAGAGGGGGTATAGGGCATGTCCTGGTTCGACCTCTACCGTCTCAACCCCGGCATCAACTGCGTCACCCTCGGCTCTCTCACCGCCTCAGAGGCACCTATGGGGGATGGCACTAGGGAGGTTCGTGCTAGGAATCAACTAGTGCCTACGCCAGATGCAAAGCTCGCCTTTTGAGGCACCTCACAAATTGCTCAAATCTCGCATTCTTGCTCACTCCTCCCTCCCCTCCTCCCCCACCCATACCCAACCCCCCAGATCTGCATTGCCGGCACGCCGTTGGGAGCGGTGGCGTGCGGTAAGGCGCGGTCGAAGACGGTGGCGAACCGGCGGTACACGGTGGGGGCGGGGGACAGCTGTGCATCGCTGGTGGTGGTGCAGTTCCAGCGCCAGCCGCCGCTCGTGGGCCAGCTCAACCGCAACTGGATGTGCCGCTCCCAGAGCCTCTTTGCCGGCATGCCCCTCTGCATCCCCTCTTAGTCCCAATCTTGCAGCCATGTGCCATAGCATTCCCAACTGCACAGTGCAACCCTCTTTGATATCAAGCGAGTCACCTTCCGACTCGCCTATAATATTTTGTCTGTTGCAGATGTATATTACACAAACTGACCCTGTATCAATTCTATTTATATATCTGGTACTTGCAAAGTCGTACTATCTGGTTGACTTTGCAATATGGCCACCGAACTTTTCTTTACTGTACTGGTGCTACTGGGTTATTTATTTCCCCGCTCTTGCGAGCTATAATCAGTTTTCGCAACTGGTTTTCGCGAAACAAGACCTTCGTGATTTTTTCGAACCTGACGTACAGTACAGTGTTTTCCGAGCCTGATTGTTTTCTCGTTGACGTACTTCGAGCATTCAAGCATTCTCTACCCGAGCCGCTCGGCCTTTCGGCCAGCGCAACACATTTCGGCCCTGTTCGATAGCGAGGGTTAACCGGCCAGGAAATCTTTGAGGTGACCTTGTTTGTTGGGCGGGAAACGGTTTGCGACTCTTGCGACCCCCATGCGACGAGGTAGAGCGCGAACGACCCCCCTGCGATAAGACGTGTTTCCCGCTCTCGTGGACGAAACCCCTGCGATGAGACGAATTTCCCGCCCACGCGGGAAAACATGGCGGGAAGTTCAGACGGGGTAGTTTGACACCACAGCGCGCAGAAACAGTGACTTCCGCATAATGATTACTGCCCCTCCCTGGTAAATCACCAGACCATTGGGGGGGCATTGCCAATGTTACTTTTCAAATCAGTCGCCCCATGGCCAGACCATTGGGCTATTTTGGGATAGTCGCATAAAAAACAAGGTATAATGCAGTTGCACGACAACTCCTTTCGACACAGCTAACTAGTACTGGAACCGATTTGAAATACTCTATATATTTTCAGGTCAAACATTTGGGTTCGGCATTTTTTTTGGCGCAGACCGTGGGGCCCCCGGGCAGAACCCATGGCTGGAAACAGTCCGCTTCAAAGGGCCGTTGAGGTAGAGCTTTTCGGCCACCTCGGCCGTTGCATTCGGTTAATAGAGACGGCAATGGGTCAACTCTAATGATTACACTGCCTTCGCTGTCCTACAAGTTGCACTTTGTCGCGACTATCAACCATTTGGGCGACAGAGCCAAACCAAATGGTTTCATCGGGTGGCCTCAAAGGGCTATCGAACAGGGCCTTCATTCATCCTCACAACCCCCACTTTCGCACAGCTTGATTTGTTGTTTCCTAAGGGTGGATCCAACTCGTCGCAGTTCAGGTCGATATTGGTCACAGTAACCTCGTTTTATAGTGTAACCGCGTTAAATATTGAGATCAGCCTAGTTGACGCGCTTGGTTCCTACATGCAAAATCAGTCACGTGCCACATCACGTTTCGTAGTATTTCGAAATAGTTGCAAACTGGGTTGCTACAGAAAATCCAGCACTCGCACCTACACGACCCGGTAACAGGGTGTACCTGTCATATGCGAGTATTGTTCTTCTCGTCAAAGCAATATGGGCGCAATGTCGATTATCACGAGTTATGTTCTGAAACCCAAGTTATCCTGGCGAAGTCTTCTGATTTCTCGCATATTTTTTTTGTCCAGCAATTCGGTTCGTATGGGCGGGATGTTGTGACTGGGTAGAGCCTCCAGGACCCAGCACGGGTTTGGGTTCGGATTGACTGCTTGATATCCGGAATGTTGGGATTTCGTTATAGGGGTGTGAAACTGCCTAAACGAAAAAGTAAGACCCGCCCTAAGACAACCAGGCTGCTGCCTGAAGCTGACGCAGCTAGCTCCAGAAAGCCTTTCAAGCCAACGCACATACTACTGTACCTCCAAACCAATGCCAAAGCCAGCCCTCACACCAAACCCTTTCCTGGCTGGATGCGACCTCGTGGGGTGCGCGTGGTGGGCTGCTTTTTCGTCGCATCGCACAGCATCCCTTCCTGAAATTCCAGTCGTTCGGTGTTTTGCGAGGGTCACGCCACGCGGCACGCCCCACCTGCTCCACTGCCCTGCCCCGCCGCTGTTTGTCAGTCCCTCTCTCTCCCTGGTCGGCCGCTGGACACAACGGTGCCAAAGTGCACAGCGCTTCAAGGTGATTTGTACGGATCCGCCGCACCTCACCGCACCGCCAAGCGAAGCCTGCTATGAATCTAGGGAATTCCACTGTTCAAAGTACAGCTCGGGCAAGGAGTTTCTGGCAGGAAAAATAGTAGTAGTAGTAGTAGTCGAAGGTAAACTAGTACAAATCTAATCGAGATTGCTATATCTCTACTACTCACCAAGTTTGAATGTCTTGATCTTCTCATTTGCACATCGATCGAGCTTGCGTTCTTGTAGGTTATCTCCCTCGAGTTTCGTCTTCTCTTTGTACCTCTTTATCATTCGCTTGTCATCACCCGTACCGCGCGCGAAACGATCGAGCCCGCCAAGAAGCGTGACTCGCGAACGAGGTTTGCGGCCTTCTAACACCATGGATTGTCGCGGCTCGGCGTTTCCAGCCCACGCCGCGATTCGTCTAGTCGCAGTCTTACTGATCATCACTGTCGGCCCGGCCGCCGCTGTCCGGCGGATAGGTAAGCAGCCTGATGCTGACGTGGGGTTGTCTCGGTGCGACGCCAAATCCAGGCCGTAACTTTCGTGGAAAGGAAAACTGCAACATCCCACCCTTGCCCCTCGTTTCTTACCACCTCCTCCGCTCCTCTCCCCCCACCGTGGGGAAAATGTCGCACCGGCGGTCCCGCAACGAAAGTGTCCCGCAAGTGTCTCGAGGGACAGTTTGCATGATGGGTCAGGTGTCCCAACAGCGAGTTTACCCAAATCTACCCCGTATCTGACCCAGGGTTCAGCGGATTTTCCTTGAGCGTTGAAGGCGCTGAGATCGATTCCGGCCGACGTCCGCAATTAGTGGGTGCGCTTCACATAGGACATGTGATTTCGGATTTAGTTGTTTGATATTTTTGTGGCTTGGACTCCAAGCACGCACTTGTGATAGTCCTAACTTGTGTGCACACACAGCGACTCACAAAATGGTGAAAAAACAAGCGTTCCGCCCCCCGACCCCATCTCCCTCCTCGTTATACAGACACATTCGCTACAACGACAAGCGCGGACTCCGCCGGCACCGCGACCTCCGTCGACGCGACAGCTGGCGCGTCGGCATTGGACCTCACGGCTCTGGCGGTGGACGCGAAGACGCAGGCGGAGATTAAAGCCCTCGCGCCGCTGATGGGAAGAGCGGGCCTGACGGGAGTCAAGCCGCCCGAACGCGCGTCGTACTTAACTAATGCCGCGTTCGCGGCGGCGGCGGCGCGCCAGTGGATCGCGACGGTGATGCGGCTCGTGCAGAAGCTGATTCGGCAGGCCGTGGGAGGCGGAAGGAAAGGGCGCGGATCGAGCAGTGCGCGCGGGAACACCACAACTGTTGGTGAGAGTCGTGCAGGGACAAAACGAGTGGTGTAGTGCGGTGGAATGGTGTAAAGAGCATTGGGTGACGGTTATCAACGGTGTGCAGGCGAATCGTGACGTGAATTTTTGCTCTTTGAGGCGCTTTAGGAAGGAAGTCTCCTAGAACGGCGGCAGGGCGGCACGAGAGCGGCAGGAGGGCGGCGTGGGAATGGAAGCTAGCGTGGGGTGTGGGAGCGCTGCTGCCGCTGTGGGTACTCTGCCGATTCCTTCTTCTCTCACTCTCCATCCTGGAACAGTCAGACCCCAACCTGGGTTCCGTGCCCCCCCCCGCCCACGTCAACTCTTCTCTTCCTCTTCCCCCCTCTTCTACCCCCTGCCCTCTCCTCCCTCTCCTCCCCCCCCCCCCCCCCCCCCCCCCTCCCTCCGCCAGACCGCAGCCTGGGCTACGTCCCCCCCACGACCAAGGACCTCGCCAAGCTGCCCAATCTCAACACCGTCTCGCGCTACCTCACCGTGGGTCTCACGCTCGACGAAGCATCTCAGACGCTCGGCTGGGATTTCGATAAGAGCGTGGACCACCGCCCGCTGTTTGTGCCTGACGATGAGTTCGACCAGGGCAACTGTGGTGCGTGCTGTTGACTTTCGTTGACTGCTCTTGACCTGTGCTGACTGCTGTTGACCTGGATTGCTGGGATTTCAATAAGAGCGTGGACCACCGCCCGCTGTTTGCGCCTGACGATGAGTTCGACCAGGGCAACTGCGGTGAGCTCTCCTGACCTTCGTTGACTGCTGTTGACCTGTGTTGACCCGCGATGACTGCTTTCGATCCGCACCAGCTGCTGGTGATCTGCACGGACTGCTGCTGACCCACACTGACTGCTCTTGACCTGCGTTGACCACTCTTGACCCGCATCTACTGTCGACCCGTTCTTCTCAGGTTCCTGCTGGGCGTATGCGGTGGCGAGGGCGATTCAGGGCACGTACGCTGCCTTGACGGAGGGATTCCCCGTCCCAAAAAAATGAAGCATCCAAACGTTTTTTTTCCAAGGGTATGCATAGGTATCTACCTGCCAAACTAGATGGGGGAAACTTTAGGCATACCAGGTGGACTGCTCGCACGGCAAGCCTTTCCAGCAAGTTTTGGACAAGATGACCACCCCTTGTACATGTGTTTCAAGCCGAGCAATCGAGCAAAGTAGATTCGCTATACACATGGCGTGTTTAGTATAAAATCCCACTGATATATTTTTATGCGCGAACCTGGTTGAGGTTCAAACGTGTTTTTGCGTGCATGCTAGAACATGGCGCCACCAGTGAACCTAATCCACGTGGATTGGATAACAGGAACAAGTGACGTGTCAAAAATAGCCAATGGTGTTCGACGTCGAGTTCTTTTCCAACACGAATCAAACACGTGCGCCGCAGTCCATCCGAGCGTTGGTGGAAACGAATTGTTGGAAACTCTACCCACCAACGCGCAAGCTGGCGGAAGCGAGCCAGTCATTGAGCGACAACCAGGTAATGTTGGCACACCCTGGCAAATGTTTCGAGGGCATTTATCTTAGCGGTAACACTCATGGAGCTCGAACGCACGCGAGGTAAGCCACGTTTCCAAATCGTAACAGAGATGTCTTCTCATCGCCACCATGGGAACCAGCATTGCCGAGATGGTCAACATTATTGCCTGAATGGTAATGAACAGTGCATCCGGAAATCCTGGCTGGTAACTTCGCGTTCCAACCAAACTGTACACCGTACAAGTCAGGTTTGACTCAGCAAAACGAAACTGACTGTCCACGTATACACCCACAGAATGCGCAATTCTGTTTATAATACCAGCGCTTACAAACGCAAAACGTTACATGCACGTATTCGATATAATTTCCTATCACTATTACAGCAAGCATCTTACGAACACTCTGGAGAAACAAATTTAGCCTGACTATTTAAAAACTGGGATTAAATTATCTATTAATACAGTCCATATCATGCCTTGAATGAATTATTTATTGTATCAATAGAAAGTTTTAATTCTTATGCAATCATTATTGTCTATCATATGCAAAATTAGTATTGTTCAAATTGATATTGAAATTATAGTAACTTGGTCTAGCTCCATTTCTTTATAGTCGGAAATATAATTATGAAAGGGTAAAATAATTTGTTTCAAATAATTTATCACTAGGATAGCTTTCCGGTTTGACATTGTTGAGAAGAAACAAGGAATGAATGAACTATGAATGAATTGGGTACAAGTACTAACCCTAATTGGGTTGTACCCCTTATGGGCTACCCCACTATAGCCTACACAATATGCATGAGCTATAATGTTCTGACACACCCCCATAGGCAAAGTGGGGGAGAACAAGGGGTCACAAGACCAGTCAAGCAAAGCAAAGCAAGCTCAGGGTGGATCACAAAGTCACCACACATTCCGAGCACAAGTTCAAGGCCACAAGGCCAGTTCACATGCAGGAGTACATATATATAAAAGACTAGACAAGCAAGAGCAGGTATATATATATGTAACAGTACAAGCAAGGTCAAGAGGTGAGCAAGTGAGGCAAGGTAGGCACAAGGCCCAGCTGAGTACAGAAGCGCTGATGGTCACAAGGCGCAAGCGCCTTGGTGAAGATATCAGCAGTGTTGGCCTCAGAGGCCACGTACGCAAGACGCAGCTGACCACGCTGCTGCAGCTCACGAGCAAGAAAGTAGCGGAGAACAATGTGCTTCGTTCTGTGCTCCAGTCGCTGCTCCCGACACAAGGCCAGCAAGGCCTTGTTGTCTACGTACAGCACTGGAGGAGAACGAGGCGGCTCTCCGAGGTCAGTCAGCAGGTAGGTGAGCCAGCGAAGCTCCTGTGCAGCCATGGCTCCTGCGTAGATCTCAGCCTCACAACTGGAGCCGAGAACAGAAGACGAGCGAGTAGCCCGCCACGAAACAGAGCCGGAACCAAGGCTGAAGGTGTAACCCTGTGACGACCGCTGCGTAGCCTGGTCGTCAGCCCAAGAAGCGTCTGCGTGCCCAGTAAGGACCACTGGACTCTGCCCTCCAAGCACAAGCCCCATGCCCGACGTACTGCACAAGTAGCGCAACACCCTCTTCGCTGCAGCCATATGCTCCGGTCTGTGTCTCCCAGGAGCAACATAGCGTGCGAGAATGCTAAGAGGGTATGCAAGGTCAGGTCGAGTGCAGGTCATCAGGTACATGAGGCAGCCAACAAGCTCTGGGTACGGGCCACTCGACTCTACGGACTCATCCGAAGGCAGAGCTGAGAGCGAGTGGCGAGTAGGCAGAGGAGTGGCCTGAGGCGAGGAGTACGTGAAGCCGAAGCGCTGAAGGACCTGCTGCACCATGTGTGACTGAGTCAGGGTAATGGTGCGGCGTGCTCTGTCCCGAGTGATCTGCAAGCCAAGGTAGCTGCGCAGTTCACCCAGGTCAGTGCACGTGTGTCTCTTCTGCAGCTTGGACTTCACGTGGGCGAGTCCAGCAGAGTCAGCTGTGGCAAAGACCAAGTCGTCGACGTACACGAGGATGTAGAACGGTGGCAAAGAAGTGTCGGTGCGCAGAAACAGCGACGGGTCGGCAGTAGAGGGAGCAAACCCAAGAGCCGCAAGTGTAGTCCTCAGTGTGTCGTGCCACTCACGCGATGCCTGGCGGAGACCGTAGACTGGCCGCCGTAGGCTCCACAGGGTGCCAGGAGGAAAACACCCAGTGAAACCAAGTGGGCGACGCAGCCAGATCTCCTCATGCAGGCTGCCCTGCAAGAAAGCAGTGCTGAAGTCAAGAGAGTGTAACTCGTAGTCACGGTGAGCAGCTACGTGCAGCAGTACCCGAAGAGTGGTCATCTTCGGGGTGGGAGAGAAGGTCTGAAAGTAGTCAACTCCCTGCCGCTGACTGAAGCCACGAGCCACGTAACGCGCCTTGAAGACAGGCGGAGAACCCGGCGGTCGCTTCACCCTGAAAATCCACATGCCACTGACGATGTTCGCCCCAGGAGGGGGAACAGCGTCAACGTAGGTGCCTGTGGACTTCCAGGAAGCCATCTCTGCGTCCATAGCTGCCTGCCACTGAGAGGAGTAGGGACCCTCTATCGCCTCCGCGTAAGAGCGCGGAGTCGGGATGTCAAGTGCATCCGGGTCTCCCTCAGGGGTAAGCAGTACGGACACGAGATGAGGTGAAGCAGCGGCCAAGCACTGGAACTCCTCCTGCCTGTCCTCAAGGACGTCCGTGCCAAGGGCACACTCACCCCCGACGGACGGAGGACAGACAAACTCAGACTCAGCAACAAGACTGGCGACGTAGTCTAGGCGACAGCGAGCAGCAAAGTCGACGAGCTCAGCAACTAGGGCAGACGCAGCAGTGGACTCAAAGGAAGGGTCAGTGACAACAGTAGCAAGGAGACGCGTGACAGTAGGACTGGCAGCACGAAGAGAGTCCGACTCCGGGTCGGCAAGAGCAGGAAGAGAAGACTCAGGAGGAGAAGGCAAAGGGGCACGCAGAGGAGCAGTGGACGGACGCAGAGACATCCGGTGCGTGCCAGGGACAGGAGGAGGACGCTGACGCGAACCGCGACCACTAGTGCGAGCAGCACGGACAGGCGACGCAGGGCGAGACGCAGGCTCACGACGCTCAGCAAGACCTCCAGTAGGACCAGTGTAGGGAGACGGAGCAGGCAGTGGGGAGGCCGGCTGTAACTTTAACTGCGACGGGACAGGCTGTGGACACTCTAAGGGAGGAGGAGGACCAGTAGAAGACGGGAGACCAAGAACCTGCTGAAGGAGCGGAACGAAGTACCTGCCGAGGCCGCGCGGCGACTCCAGACACAGCAGGGACAGCACCAGCACCCCCTGTGGCAGCACCAGCACCAGTAGCAGCTCCAGCTCCAGTACCCCCAGCAGCATCAGCAGTACCCCCAGCAGGACCGTCTCCAGGACCGACAGCAGGACCCCCTGCTGCTGCTGCTGCTGGCGCTGACCACCACCGGAGCCACCCCTCTGTGCAGCGCCACCCCGACCAGCTCCACCTCCTCCGCCGCCTCCTCCTCCACCGCCGCCACCTCCGCTCCCACCGCCACCGCCACCGCCGCCTCCGCCTCCACTGCCGCCACCGACACCTCCGCCCCCGCCACCACTCCCACCACCACCCCCACCCCCTCCACCGCCTCCACCGCCACCTCCACCGCCCCCGCTAGCTCCTCCAGTGCCCCTGCCCCCCTTGCCCTTGCCAGGGCGACGTCTCCCGCTAGGGGTAGACGCCGCACCGACCGACTCAAGCCCAACGAGGTCGGCCGCAGCAGCAGAGGCAACAGAGGGCAAAAGGGGGGAGGGGGAACACCCCTCAAAGATGGGGGTGCGAGGGTCACCACGAGAGGCTCCTACAGCGACTATGCTCTTCTCTGCTGCTAGGAGGGACTTCTCGAGGAGGTCAACGGTGAGAGTGGTGGGGCAAACGGAGAGGAAGTGGTCCCTGACTACGCGAAGGGAGTCAGGGAGCCGGGTGACTATGTAGTAGAGGATGATGTACATGGGGGGGGGGTTCTTGGCGCAGAACTCAGCAGGAAGCGCAGCGCGGTAGCGAGTGTCACTAGTGCGGAGGTGCGTAATGAGGTCAGCGACTGTGGGAAAGGCAGCAAGGTCAGGGAAGAGGTACGGTAGCATGAGGCGGCTCAGTGCAGCAGTGGCAGGGGAGGAGTAGCGTGCAACTACAGCATCGTACAAGGTCTGAGCACTCTTGTACTGGCTAAAGTGCGCACGCTCAGAGGTAGGCAGGTGGCGACGCACAGCAAGACGTGCAGCAGCATCGCGAGTGGCCCACTGTGAGCGAACAGTGGCGTCGGCATCAGCAGCAGGGGCAGGAGAGGCACCAGAGGTGAGGTCAAAGAGGGAGAGACCGTCTGCCCTATCGCACTGTAGGAAAAGCTGCAGGTCATCTACCCAGACGTCAAAGTCAATGGCCCGACCCTCAGCGTCAAAGGCGAGGACACTAGGGGTAGCCATGACAGCAGTAGACTAGCAGCGCTAACAGTAGGGTGAGGGCAGTGCAGGGACAGAGGCGCTGCACTTACCGGACAGGGCGACTCGGGTGGCTCAGCTGCTCGGCGGCTCGGCAACTCGGCGGCTCGGGCGGCTCGGCGGTACGGCGGCTCGGCAGCAAGCGCGGCTCGGCGACACGGCGGCTCGGGCGGCTCGGGCGGTACGGCGGCTCGGGCGGTACGGCGGCTCGGCAGGCCTGGGCGGCTCAGGTGTCGCGGCGAGGCCGCGTGGGGAGCGGCGGCGGGGCCGAGTGGAGCGGCGGCGGCGGGTGCAGTCAGCTGCGGCAGCAGCCGCGGCCCCGAGGGAGGTGGTACCGCGGCCCGCGGCCCGCGGCCCGCGGCTCCTCAAATGGGGGCTGTACCCTGTCGTGAAAAATGCAATGTGCCGCTTGGCACGTGTGGCATGCTGGTGAATCGAGGGCTCTACCCCGTTGTCACAGGTGAGTGAGGCACCCCTTTTCCGGGGTGAAATACTCAGTGTGCTGTTCGGCACGTGTGGCATGCTGGTGAACCGCGGGCTGTACCCCGTTGTGAACAGTGAGTGAGGCTCCTCAAAGGGGGGCTGTACCCTGTCGTGAAAAATGCAATGTGCCGCTTGGCACGTGTGGCATGCTGGTGAATCGAGGGCTCTACCCCGTTGTCACAGGTGAGTGAGGCACCCCTTTTCCGGGGTGAAATACTCAGTGTGCTGTTCGGCACGTGTGGCATGCTGGTGAACCGCGGGCTGTACCCCGTTGTGAACAGTGAGTGAGGCTCCTCAAAGGGGGGCTGTACCCTGTCGTGAAAAATGCAATGTGCCGCTTGGCACGTGTGGCATGCTGGTGAATCGAGGGCTCTACCCCGTTGTCACAGGTGAGTGAGGCACCCCTTTTCCGGGGTGAAATACTCAGTGTGCTGTTCGGCACGTGTGGCATGCTGGTGAACCGCGGGCTGTACCCCGTTGTGAACAGTGAGTGAGGCTCCTCAAAGGGGGGCTGTACCCTGTCGTGAAAAATGCAATGTGCCGCTTGGCACGTGTGGCATGCTGGTGAATCGAGGGCTCTACCCCGTTGTCACAGGTGAGTGAGGCACCCCTTTTCCGGGGTGAAATACTCAGTGTGCTGTTCGGCACGTGTGGCATGCTGGTGAACCGCGGGCTGTACCCCGTTGTGAACAGTGAGTGAGGCTCCTCAAAGGGGGGCTGTACCCTGTCGTGAAAAATGCAATGTGCCGCTTGGCACGTGTGGCATGCTGGTGAATCGAGGGCTCTACCCCGTTGTCACAGGTGAGTGAGGCACCCCTTTTCCGGGGTGAAATACTCAGTGTGCTGTTCGGCACGTGTGGCATGCTGGTGAACCGCGGGCTGTACCCCGTTGTGAAAAGTCAGGGGTTAACCAGTGTAGCAGGTGAGCGTACCGCTTGTTACCCCGTTGCCCTTGTTTCCTTCTTTGTTCTTTCGTTTTTTCCGTGTCCTTTCTCTTTCTTTCCTTCTTTCTTTCTTATGCTCTCTATTTATTTCTTTCTTATTCTGGTGGTGCTTCCCCTTTCCCCCTCTCTCCTCATTACCCTCCCCATCCCCCACCCCCTCGCCAGTCCCCCAGAGCACGGACCCCTGCAGCACGTCGCCGTGTGGGGGGGGCACATGTGTGGCGGACGGGAGTGGCAACGGCAAGTACACGTGTCAGTGCACGGACCTGCTTGCACCCGCTGAAAACCGCGACGGCACTCCCACCTGCACCATCGGTGAGTCGACCTGTGGGCTGGGAAGGGTGCTTTGGCGCTTTGGGTGCTTTGATTCCTTGGGGTGATTTGATTCCTTGGGGCGCTTTCATTTCTTGGGGTGCTTTGATTCCTTGGGGTGCTTTCATTTCTTGGGGTGCTTTGACCCTTGGGCATGATTTGACCCTTAGAATGCTTTTGTGGTTTTGCTGATAGACGCTTGGGAAGGTGCACTTGGCGGTCGGGATAAGCTGGTTCTTGAGAACTATCAAAAACCAAACGATTGTGATATTGTATAATTCTCAAAAACTGCATGCTGCTTCTGCCCCATGCCCCATGCCCCATGCACGCAATGACGCATGCTGCTTCTGCCCCATGCCCCATGCACGCAATGGCGCATGCCCCCCAGCTTGCTCGCTTCTCCCCTCCTCTATGCTTTCAAGTCCTTTCCCTCCACCCTCCCCTCCCTCGTCTGCCAACGTCTGCAGTGTGCTGCCCAACAACCCTTGCGCCGTGGGGTGCAACCCATGCGCCGTGGGGTGCAACCCCTGCAGTGCATCAACATCAACAGCACCAAACAGCACCTACCCCGTCTCGCTCTCATTCCCCCCACTCCTCTCTCAACCACCATCCCCTTCGCCCCTTTCCCTCCACTCCCTCCCCCACAGTCAACGTGTGCAGCATTCTACCCAACAATCCATGCGCCGTGGGGCAGTGCATCAACAGCGGCGACGGCGGCTACTCGTGCCTCTGCCCGCCCAACTACAAGCCCAGCCTGCTCGCCTCCGGCCAGACCACCTGCGTGCCTGGTGAGCCTGGGAGTGTCTATTCGTGCCTTTGGTGTGGTGGTGGGGTGGGAATGGTGTCTATCTGTGCCTCTGCCCGCCCAATTACAAGCCCAGCCTGCTCGCCTCTGGCCAGACCACCTGCGTGCCTGGTGAGGCTGGAGGGAAGAAGGAGGGAGGGTACGGGCAGAAAGGGGAGATGCAGTAAACGTTCTTTCTTCTTTGTCTTCTTTGTCTTCTTTGTCTTCTTATTCTGCTTCTACTTCTACTTCGTCTTGTGCATATCCATCCGTTTGAATGCACTCACGATATTTGACATCCCACGGCCCACACATCCCATCACACATCCCATCACACATCCCATCCCACATCCCATCCCACCTCCCATCCCACATCCCATCCCACCTCCCATCCCACATCCCATCCCACCTCCCATCACACATCCCATCCCACATCCCATCACAAATCTTATCATGGCTGGTCGATTCAAGGGTGGGTGGTCGGATCATGGTTGCTGCTGCTGTTGCACTCGTTGGCATCATTTCCACAATCTCATTTCGACACCTATCACTATCCCATCCGATCCCATCACTATTCCATTCAATCCCATCCCATCCCATCCCATCCCATCCCATCCCATTCCTGGCATGGCGCTGATTTCAACGAGTGCAGCGGCAGCAGTCCAGAGGACGTACACAGTGCAGGGGGGGGAGACGTGTGCCGCTATCTACGGCTTCATCGGCCTCACCCCGGAGCAGTTCCAGGCACAGAATGAGGTGCGAGCAGTGAGAGATAGATATGAGAGCAGTTCCTGCTGCAAATGAGGTAACTTGAGGGATGAGAGTGATGAGAGTGTCAAGGGCAGTTTCTGCTTCAGAATGGGGTACGAGCAGCAAGGGATGAGCGCAATGAGAGCGATGGGAGCAATGAGAGCAATGAGAGGGATGAGAGGGATGAGCGCAATGAAAGCAATGAGAGCAATGAGAGCAATGAGAGGGATGAGAGGGATGAGCGCAATGAAAGCAATGAGAGCAATGAGAGCAATGAGATCAATGAGAGGGATGAGCGCAATGAAAGCAATGAGAGCAATGAGAGAAATGAGAGCAATGAGAGGGATGAGAGGGATGAGCGCAATGAAAGCAATGAGAGCAATGAGAGCAATGAGAGGGATGAGAGGGATGAGCGCAATGAAAGCAATGAGAGCAATGAGAGCAATGAGAGGGATGAGAGGGATGAGCGCAATGAAAGCAATGAGAGCAATGAGAGCAATGAGAGGGATGAGAGGGATGAGCGCAATGAAAGCAATGAGAGCAATGAGAGCAATGAGAGCAATGAGAGGGATGAGAGGGATGAGCGCAATGAAAGCAATGAGAGCAATGAGAGCAATGAGAGGGATGAGAGGGATGAGCGCAATGAAAGCAATGAGAGCAATGAGAGCAATGAGAGGGATGAGAGGGATGAGCGCAATGAAAGCAATGAGAGCAATGAGAGCAATGAGAGGGATGAGAGGGATGAGCGCAATGAGAGCAATGAGAGCAATGAGAGCAATATGAGAGCAATGAGAGCAATGAGAGCAATGAGAGCAATGAGAGCAATGAGAGGGATGAGAGGGATGAGAGGGATGAGAGGGATGAGAGGGATGAGAGGGATGAGAGGGATGAGAGGGATGAGAGGGATGAGAGGGATGAGAGGGATGAGAGGGATGAGAGGGATGAGAGGGATGAGAGTGATGAGAGGGATGAGAGGGATGAGAGGGATGAGAGGGATGAGAGGGATGAGAGGGATGAGAGGGATGAGAGGGATGAGAGGGATGAGAGGGATGAGAGGGATGAGAGGGATGAGAGGGATGAGAGCAATGAGAGCAATGAGAGGGATGACCGTAGAGTTAGATGGGCAGTTCTGGCTATTGAGAACTCTCGAAAGGAAAGCTGCAAGCATGGAGAGCGATCGGAGCTTTCTCCTTTGCTCTCATCACGTTGCCCTTGCCCTTTGCTTACCTTACCCTAATTTGTCTCCTCCTTCCCTTCTCCCTTCTCAATCCACCGCTCTCCATCCCTCAGGGAGTGGACTGTGACAATCTCAAGGCAGGGCAGGTTCTCAACACCTCCATCCCCGCATCGGCTCAAGTGTGCCGCGTGCGCTACACTGTCACTCAGGTGCGTTACATGTCTCCTAGATGTGTTACATGTGCGCTATTCTGTCATATTAGTGCGTTTCATTTCGAATAGGTGCGTTACATGTGTGCTACTCTGTCACCCAGATGCGTTACATCCCGCCCAATTGCGTTACGTGTCTCCCAGTGCGTTAAAAGTGTGTTACATGTGCGCTACTATGTCACCCAGGTGCCTACATGTTTCCCAGGTGTGTTTCATTTCTCCCAGGTGCGTTGCTTGTTGGTGCGTTACAAGTTGCCAGGTGCTTTACATGCCTCCCCTCCTCCCCGTTCCTTCTCATCCCCTCTCCTCATTCCCCTAGGCGGATGCAGCAGCAAAGAGCTGCAATTCCATCAACGATCGCTTTGGCATCGACGTCACGACCATCAACCCCAGCCTCGACTGTTCAAGCCTCACGCCCAACCAGCAGGTGAGGCGAATGGTGGCGATTGGGGGCACTGGTGCGGCAGGTAAGGGCGGGGGGAAGTGAGGGGGGCAGCCAAGGCTTTAAGCGCTTTGGCATCGACACCACAACCATCAACCCCAACCTTGACTGCCCAAACCTCACGCCCAATCAGCAGGTGAGGAGAGTGGGGATTGGGGCGCTCTCATTGGTGTAGCAGGTGAGTGAGGGGAGTGTGGAGTGAAGGGGACATCATGGGCTTTAAGCGTGTTCGCATCAACAGCATGAGCGTTACCATCAGCGACTGGCTCACATGCTCCCCTCTCCCCTCTAGCCTCTCTAACCCTCTCTTCCCCTCTCCTCTCTAGCCTTTCCAACCCATTCTTCCCCTCTCCCCTCTAGCCTCTCTAACCCTCTCCTCTCTACCCTCTCTAACCCTCTCTTCCCCTCTCCCCTCTAGCCTCTCTAACCCTCTCTTCCCCTCTCCCCTCTAGCCTCTCTAACCCTCTCTTCCCCTCTCCTTTCTTCGCTCACCGTCTCCCCCCCTCTTTCCCCCCTTCCTCAGATCTGCACCCAAGTGGGAGACGCGGTGTCAGGAGCAGCGGATTACAACCTGTGCACGGACTACCAGCCGGTCAGCCAGTGGGTCACCTGTGCCAGCATCGTATCAAACTACGGCATCACGTGGTTCGACCTCTACCGTCTCAACCCCGGCATCAACTGCGACACAATCAACGCCCTCACCGCCTCCGAGGTACCGATGGGGGGGTGGCACCAAGGGGTGTGGCGCTAGGGGGGTGTGGCACTAGTAAGGGGGCTAGGGGGGTGGGGAGCATCAACTGCGACACCATCAACGCCCTCACCGCCTCCGAGGTACCGATGGGGGGTGGCACCAAGGGGTGTGGCGCTAGGGGGGTGTGGCACTAGTAAGGGGGCTAGGGGGGTGGGGAGCATCAACTGCGACACCATCAACGCCCTCACCGCCTCCGAGGTACCGATGGGGGGTGGCACCAAGAGGTGTGGCACTAGGGGGGTGTGGCACTAGTAAGGGGGCTAGGGGGGTGGGGAGCATCAACTGCGACACCATCAACGCCCTCACCGCCTCCGAGGTACCGATGGGGGGTGGCACCAAGGGGTGTGGCGCTAGGGGGGTGTGGCACTAGTAAGGGGGCTAGGGGGGTGGGGAGCATCAACTGCGACACCATCAACGCCCTCACCGCCTCCGAGGTACCGATGGGGGGTGGCACCAAGAGGTGTGGCGCTAGGGGGGTGTGGCACTAGTAAGGGGGCTAGGGGGGTGGGGAGCATCAACTGCGACACCATCAACGCCCTCACCGCCTCCGAGGTACCGATGGGGGGTGGCACCAAGGGGTGTGGCGCTAGGGGGGTGTGGCACTAGTAAGGGGGCTAGGGGGGTGGGGAGCATCAACTGCGACACCATCAACGCCCTCACCGCCTCCGAGGTACCGATGGGGGGTGGCACCAAGGGGTGTGGCGCTAGGGGGGTGTGGCACTAGTAAGGGGGCTAGGGGGGTGGGGAGCATCAACTGCGACACCATCAACGCCCTCACCGCCTCCGAGGTACCTATGCGGGGTGGGGCTAGAGTGGCTGGCCTTAGGAGGGTGGCTCTGAGGGCTCACTGCCCTCACTGCCTTCGAGGTACTCATGAACGGGTGGGCCTAGGTGGGGAGGCGTTATCAAGTGTGGGACACTCAGCTGGTACGGTATGTCGCGGTGTCAAGAACAGCAGAGTACCATACAACCTGTGCATGGAATATGCGAGTGCCAATAAGTGGCTGAGCTGTGCCAATGCGGTCCAGTGGTACGGCATGACTTGGCTCGACCATCTCCGAGATACCTATGAGAATGAGTGAGGGTATCGCATAGGTATCTCTGAGATACCTATGAGAATGAGTGAGGGTATCGCATAGGTATCTCCGAGATACCCATGAGAATGAGTGAGGGTATCGCATAGGTATCTCCGAGATACCCATGAGAATGAGTGAGGGTATCGCATAGGTATCTCCGAGATACCTATGAGAATGAGTGAGGGTATCGCATAGGTATCTCCGAGATACCTATGAGAATGAGTGAGGGTATCGCATAGGTATCTCCGAGATACCCATGAGAATGAGTGAGGGTATCGCATAGGTATCTCCGAGATACCTATGAGAATGAGTGAGGGTATCGCATAGGTATCTCCGAGATACCCATGAGAATGAGTGAGGGTATCGCATAGGTATCTCCGAGATACCCATGAGAATGAGTGAGGGTATCGCATAGGTATCTCCGAGATACCCATGAGAATGAGTGAGGGTATCGCATAGGTATCTCCGAGATACCTATGAGAATGAGTGAGGGTATCGCATAGGTATCTCCGAGATACCCATGAGAATGAGTGAGGGTATCGCATAGGTATCTCCGAGATACCCATGAGAATGAGTGAGGGTATCGCATAGGTATCTCCGAGATCCCTATGAGAATGAGTGAGGGTATCGCATAGGTATCTCCGAGATACCCATGCGAATGAGTGAGGGTATCGCATAGGTATCTCCGAGATACCCATGGGAATGAGTGAGGGTATCGCATAGGTATCTCCGAGATACCTATGAGAATGAGAGAGGGTATCGCATAGGTATCTCCGAGATACCTATGAGAATGAGTGAGGGTATCGCATAGGTATCTCTGAGATACCTTTGAGAATGAGTGAGGGTATCGCATAGGTATCTCCGAGATACCCATGAGAATGAGTGAGGGTATCGCATAGGTATCTCCGAGATACCTATGAGAATGAGTGAGGGTATCGCATAGGTATCTCCGAGATACCCATGAGAATGAGTGAGGGTATCGCATAGGTATCTCCGAGATACCTATGAGAATGAGTGAGGGTATCGCATAGGTATCTCCGAGATACCCATGAGAATGAGTGAGGGTATCGCATAGGTATCTCCGAGATCCCTATGAGAATGAGTGAGGGTATCGCATAGGTATCTCCGATATACCCATGCGAATGAGTGAGGGTATCGCATAGGTATCTCCGAGATACCCATGAGAATGAGTGAGGGTATCGCATAGGTATCTCTGAGATACCTTTGAGAATGAGTGAGGGTATCGCATAGGTATCTCCGAGATACCCATGAGAATGAGTGAGGGTATCGCATAGGTATCTCCGAGATACCTATGAGAATGAGTGAGGGTATCGCATAGGTATCTCCGAGATACCCATGAGAATGAGTGAGGGTATCGCATAGGTATCTCCGAGATCCCTATGAGAATGAGTGAGGGTATCGCATAGGTATCTCCGATATACCCATGAGAATGAGTGAGGGTATCGCATAGGTATCTCCGAGATACCCATGAGAATGAGTGAGGGTATCGCATAGGTATCTCCGAGATACCTATGAGAATGAGTGAGGGTATCGCATAGGTATCTCCGAGATACCCATGAGAATGAGTGAGGGTATCGCATAGGTATCTCCGAGATACCTATGAGAATGAGTGAGGGTATCGCATAGGTATCTCCGAGATACCTATGAGAATGAGTGAGGGTATCGCATAGGTATCTCCGAGATACCTATGAGAATGAGTGAGGGTATCGCATAGGTATCTCCGAGATACCCATGAGAATGAGTGAGGGTATCGCATAGGTATCTCCGAGATACCCATACGAATGAGTGAGGGTATCGCATAGGTATCTCCGAGATACCCATGAGAATGAGTGAGCGTATCGCATAGGTATCTCCGAGATACCCATGAGAATGAGTGAGGGTATCGCATAGGTATCTCCGAGATACCTATGAGAATGAGTGAGGGTATCGCATAGGTATCTCCGAGATACCCATGAGAATGAGTGAGGGTATCACATAGGTATCTCCGAGATACCTATGAGAATGAGTGAGGGTATCGCATAGGTATCTCCGAGATACCCATGAGAATGAGTGAGGGTATCGCATAGGTATCTCCGAGATACCCATGAGAATGCGTGAGGGTATCCCATAGGTATCTCCGAGATACACATGAGAATGAGTGAGGGTATCGCATAGGTATCTCCGAGATCCCTATGAGAATGAGTGAGGGTATCGCATAGGTATCTCCGATATACCCATGCGAATGAGTGAGGGTATCGCATAGGTATCTCCGAGATACCCATGAGAATGAGTGAGGGTATCGCATAGGTATCTCTGAGATACCTTTGAGAATGAGTGAGGGTATCGCATAGGTATCTCCGAGATACCCATGAGAATGAGTGAGGGTATCGCATAGGTATCTCCGAGATACCTATGAGAATGAGTGAGGGTATCGCATAGGTATCTCCGAGATACCCATGAGAATGAGTGAGGGTATCGCATAGGTATCTCCGAGATCCCTATGAGAATGAGTGAGGGTATCGCATAGGTATCTCCGATATACCCATGCGAATGAGTGAGGGTATCGCATAGGTATCTCCGAGATACCCATGAGAATGAGTGAGGGTATCGCATAGGTATCTCCGAGATACCCATGAGAATGAGTGAGGGTATCGCATAGGTATCTCCGAGATACCCATGAGAATGAGTGAGGGTATCGCATAGGTATCTCCGAGATACCCATGAGAATGAGTGAGGGTATCGCATAGGTATCTCCGAGATACCTATGAGAATGAGTGAGGGTATCGCATAGGTATCTCCGAGATACCCATGAGAATGAGTGAGGGTATCCCATAGGTATCTCCGAGATACCTATGAGAATGAGTGAGGGTATCGCATAGGTATCTCCGAGATACCTATGAGAATGAGTGAGGGTATCGCATAGGTATCTCCGAGATACCTATGAGAATGATTGAGGGTATCGCATAGGTATCTCCGAGATACCCATGAGAATGAGTGAGGGTATCGCATAGGTATCTCCGAGATACCCATACGAATGAGTGAGGGTATCGCATAGGTATCTCCGAGATACCCATGAGAATGAGTGAGGGTATCGCATAGGTATCTCCGAGATACCCATGAGAATGAGTGAGGGTATCGCATAGGTATCTCCGAGATACCTATGAGAATGAGTGAGGGTATCGCATAGGTATCTCCGAGATACCCATGAGAATGAGTGAGGGTATCGCATAGGTATCTCCGAGATACCTATGAGAATGAGTGGTATCTCCGAGATACCCATGAGAATGAGTGAGGGTATCGCATAGGTATCTCCGAGATACCCATGAGAATGAGTGAGGGTATCGCATAGGTATCTCCGAGATACCTATGAGAATGAGTGAGGGTATCGCATAGGTATCTCCGAGATACCCATGAGAATGAGTGAGGGTATCGCATAGGTATCTCCGAGATACCTATGAGAATGAGTGAGGGTATCGCATAGGTATCTCCGAGATACCTATGAGAATGAGTGAGGGTATCGCATAGGTATCTCCGAGATACCTATGAGAATGAGTGAGGGTATCGCATAGGTATCTCCGAGATACCCATGAGAATGAGTGAGGGTATCGCATAGGTATCTCCGAGATACCCATACGAATGAGTGAGGGTATCGCATAGGTATCTCCGAGATACCCATGAGAATGAGTGAGCGTATCGCATAGGTATCTCCGAGATACCCATGAGAATGAGTGAGGGTATCGCATAGGTATCTCCGAGATACCTATGAGAATGAGTGAGGGTATCGCATAGGTATCTCCGAGATACCCATGAGAATGAGTGAGGGTATCGCATAGGTATCTCCGAGATACCTATGAGAATGAGTGAGGGTATCGCATAGGTATCTCCGAGATACCCATGAGAATGAGTGAGGGTATCGCATAGGTATCTCCGAGATACCCATGAGAATGCGTGAGGGTATCCCATAGGTATCTCCGAGATACACATGAGAATGAGTGAGGGTATCGCATAGGTATCTCCGAGATCCCTATGAGAATGAGTGAGGGTATCGCATAGGTATCTCCGATATACCCATGCGAATGAGTGAGGGTATCGCATAGGTATCTCCGAGATACCCATGAGAATGAGTGAGGGTATCGCATAGGTATCTCTGAGATACCTTTGAGAATGAGTGAGGGTATCGCATAGGTATCTCCGAGATACCCATGAGAATGAGTGAGGGTATCGCATAGGTATCTCCGAGATACCTATGAGAATGAGTGAGGGTATCGCATAGGTATCTCCGAGATACCCATGAGAATGAGTGAGGGTATCGCATAGGTATCTCCGAGATACCCATGAGAATGCGTGAGGGTATCCCATAGGTATCTCCGAGATACACATGAGAATGAGTGAGGGTATCGCATAGGTATCTCCGAGATCCCTATGAGAATGAGTGAGGGTATCGCATAGGTATCTCCGATATACCCATGCGAATGAGTGAGGGTATCGCATAGGTATCTCCGAGATACCCATGAGAATGAGTGAGGGTATCGCATAGGTATCTCTGAGATACCTTTGAGAATGAGTGAGGGTATCGCATAGGTATCTCCGAGATACCCATGAGAATGAGTGAGGGTATCGCATAGGTATCTCCGAGATACCTATGAGAATGAGTGAGGGTATCGCATAGGTATCTCCGAGATACCCATGAGAATGAGTGAGGGTATCGCATAGGTATCTCCGAGATACCTATGAGAATGAGTGAGGGTATCGCATAGGTATCTCCGAGATACCCATGGGAATGAGTGAGGGTATCGCATAGGTATCTCCGAGATACCTATGAGAATGAGTGAGGGTATCGCATAGGTATCTCCGAGATACCTATGAGAATGAGTGAGGGTATCGCATAGGTTTCTCCGAGATACCTATGAGAATGAGTGAGGGTATCGCATAGGTATCTCCGAGATACCCATGAGAATGAGTGAGGGTATCGCATAGGTATCTCCGAGATACCCATACGAATGAGTGAGGGTATCGCATAGGTATCTCCGAGATACCCATGAGAATGAGTGAGGGTATCGCATAGGTATCTCCGAGATACCCATGAGAATGAGTGAGGGTATCGCATAGGTATCTCCGAGATACCTATGAGAATGAGTGAGGGTATCGCATAGGTATCTCCGAGATACCCATGAGAATGAGTGAGGGTATCGCATAGGTATCTCCGAGATACCTATGAGAATGAGTGAGGGTATCGCATAGGTATCTCCGAGATACCCATGAGAATGAGTGAGGGTATCGCATAGGTATCTCCGAGATACCTATGAGAATGAGTGAGGGTATCGCATAGGTATCTCCGAGATACCTATGAGAATGAGTGAGGGTATCGCATAGGTATCTCCGAGATACCCATGAGAATGCGTGAGGGTATCGCATAGGTATCTCCGAGATACCCATGAGAATGAGTGAGGGTATCGCATAGGTATCTCCGAGATCCCTATGAGAATGAGTGAGGGTATCGCATAGGTATCTCCGAGATACCCATGCGAATGAGTGAGGGTATCGCATAGGTATCTCCGAGATACCCATGGGAATGAGTGAGGGTATCGCATAGGTATCTCCGAGATACCTATGAGAATGAGAGAGGGTATCGCATAGGTATCTCCGAGATACCTATGAGAATGAGTGAGGGTATCGCATAGGTATCTCTGAGATACCTTTGAGAATGAGTGAGGGTATCGCATAGGTATCTCCGAGATACCCATGAGAATGAGTGAGGGTATCGCATAGGTATCTCCGAGATACCTATGAGAATGAGTGAGGGTATCGCATAGGTATCTCCGAGATACCCATGAGAATGAGTGAGGCTATCGCATAGGTATCTTCGAGATACCCATGAGAATGAGTGAGGGTATCGCATAGGTATCTCCGAGATACCCATGAGAATGGGTGAGGGTATCGCATAGGTATCTCCGAGATACCTATGAGAATGAGTGAGGGTATCGCATAGGTATCTCCGAGATACCCATGAGAATGCGTGAGGGTATCGCATAGGTATCTCCGAGATACACATGAGAATGAGTGAGGGTATCGCATAGGTATCTCCGAGATCCCTATGAGAATGAGTGAGGGTATCGCATAGGTATCTCCGATATACCCATGCGAATGAGTGAGGGTATCGCATAGGTATCTCCGAGATACCCATGGGAATGAGTGAGGGTATCGCATAGGTATCTCCGAGATACCTATGAGAATGAGTGAGGGTATCGCATAGGTATCTCCGAGATACCCATGAGAATGAGTGAGGGTATCGCATAGGTATCTCCGAGATACCTATGAGAATGAGTGAGGGTATCGCATAGGTATCTCCGAGATACCCATGAGAATGAGTGAGGGTATCGCATAGGTATCTCCGAGATCCCTATGAGAATGAGTGAGGGTATCGCATAGGTATCTCCGAGATACCCATGAGAATGAGTGAGGGTATCGCATAGGTATCTCCGAGATCCCTATGAGAATGAGTGAGGGTATCGCATAGGTATCTCCGAGATACCCATGAGAATGAGTGAGGGTATCGCATAGGTATCTCCGAGATACCCATGAGAATGAGTGAGGGTATCGCATAGGTATCTCCGAGATCCCTATGAGAATGAGTGAGGGTATTGCATAGGTATCTCCGAGATACCCATGAGAATGCGTGAGGGTATCGCATAGGTATCTCCGAGATACCTATGAGAATGAGTGAGGGTATCGCATAGGAATCTCCGAGATACCCATGAGAAATGGATTTGAGAGCTCACCGGCTCTGAGGTGCCATGCTGCTGTGATGAGTGGCCCTAAGAGCGGTGTCCCTAGGGGGTCTGGCGCTGGGGGAAATGTGGCACTTTCAAGGCCCTTGCAACTTGTGATGCAAGCAGAGAGTGTAACCACCCTCACATGGCTCACCAGCTCCATCGTGCCAACTCGTGAAGAATCACACTCTGCCTCCGTCCCCCCATCCCTCACCCCCACCCCCACTTTTTCCTTCCCTTCTCCCCTCCCTCCCTCTTCTACCCCCCCCAGATCTGTGTTGTTGGAACGCCGTTGGGAGCGGTGGCGTGCGGTAAGGCGCGGTCGAAGACGGTGGCGAACCGGCGGTACTCGGTGGGGGCAGGGGACAGCTGTGCATCGCTGGTGGTGGTGCAGTTCCAGCGCCAGCCGCCGCTCGTGGGCCTGCTCAACCGCAACTGGATGTGCCGCTCCCAGAGCCTCTTCGCCGGCATGCCCCTCTGCATCCCCTCTTAGACCCAACGGAATGGTGTGGCGTGTCGTTATGGACATTGACTTTCAAGACAGCACTTTTGCACTGCCTTTGAGTTTCATTTTGTGACGAGCATTTGCAGTTGAAGTGCGATGTATCATATGTAAGCTAATTTGATATGATGTGTTAATCATATGCTACCGGATAAGCCACATAGGGCTATGACCCATAATCATGAAGTAATAGTGGCGAAAAAATCCCAGAATACGAGCTAGAACTTAGTAGGTTTAAGAGCCATAGTTGTGAGTAGGAACGATAGAAGCGAGGGGATAGTGAGAGAAGAGAAGATAATTTCACTAGAGAAGCACGTACAAGATATAGGAAAAGAAAGGTGACAAGAGGGGTACACGACCAAGAGCCAGACAATAAACATAATACAGCTATTTTGTATGCCCTATATAACAATCGTGGAGATCGTTTCCGAAACCGCACACTCTGTTACGAGTGCAATTGAGTGAGTGAGCGAGAATTGCACTATCGAAGCAAACAATACAGTTGAGCGAAAAGCATGAGCAAAGTTATATAGCGAAGCTAGCGTGGTAACGGTAATGCGGGAAATTGGGGTGTGCTACGGGCCTAGCGCCGAGGTTTGGGAATTGTCGAGGCGGAGGTCCGGAGCGCGGGTTACCAACCGAACCGTTAGGTTGGGTCGCATCGCGAACAGTGGCGGGAGTCGTGGCCGAGGCGAGTGCTGTGAGCGGGTAACGTTTCACTGTGGGTGCCGATGGCGGGAGTGGTCATGTACGCGGTAAGCAGGGGCGCGAAGTAAGGAAAAGGAATTTTTTCCTTACACACTCACAACATTGAGCGCCAAGCAGCTGTAGTATTTATAGCCTTCCCTCCACCTGAAACCTATCTGGCTGTACTGCCATGCCGCAAACCTCGCTACCGCAAGTCTCCCTGCTCTGCTGCTCCACGCACGGCACGATGCACACTACGCCATTCTTTATCCACCCCAGCCTAGAGAGCGAAGTGAAGTCCGCGGTAACGTACGGGAGTCTCCAAACAGAACCTGACGGCTCGTCGGCACTGAGAGTGTCTGTGGCTTCGTAGGGTAGACCAGGAAAGCAAGTAGTCTCGCGTGAACTCGTTCAGTATACGAGTCATTCGACGCTGTTTATTTACTCGAATACGTTATACGATTCCCTCAAGCCAATCAAAGTACAAAAAGGCACAGTGGACTGGACTCGACTACGCGATACGATTCGTCGAACTATTGCGTGTTCACCCGACTGACAGGTACTACTCACGCATTGCGCGCAAGGGGCTGGCGTAATACTTGCAAGGGGCTGGCTTAATCCACGCAAGGATTACGTGAATCGCAAGGATTACGATTACGTAATCGTAGTCCTTCCACCTGAATCCCCTCCCTGCTCTGCTGCGTCACGCCCGGCACGCTGCACACAGTGCGCCACGCATTATCCATACCACAGCGTGAAGTCCGCAGTGACGTACGGGGAACATCATGGGCCGGCACAGGGTGTCTGTGGTTTCGTATGGAAGGCCAGGAAAGCTAGTCACACGTGAACTCGTTCAATGCGTAAAATTCATTCGACGTTGTCTTATCCACTCGAAGCGTGAATCCTCAGAAGGTGCTTCGACCCGACGTCGATCAAGTTTGCGTCATTGCATAGTAACAATCTCGCTCGAATCTCTCTCTTCACTGCCGCACTCTCCCTGGAGCTTCTTCCACGTCGCCTCGACAGTCCATCGCACCCGCGGGCCGCCCGCATTCCTTCCTCGCGTGCATCCCTTCTCTGCCGCGTCCATTCCTTCCCCATCCTCATTCCGCTCCCGCGCGCATTCAATATTTCATATTCAGCACTATATAGTGCTGACGTGTCTGCATAACGTGTAAGCCAGGCTTGCACTGCTTCTGACCCGATGGATCGTCGCGGCTCGGCGGTTACACCCCTCGCGCTTCGACTAGTAGCAGTCTTACTGATCATCACTGTCGCCCCCGCCGCCGCTGGCCGGCGGATAGGTAAGCGGCTTACTATGCTGACGTGCCGGGTTGACGCGGCGCGCTAAGGCTGAACGAAGGCTGTGTTCGCTCCGTTTGGAGTTTGGAAGGAAACGACGCTGTAAGAAGCTCCGAGTTTTTCGTGCGGAAAGGCATGGCAGCGCAGCGCATGCCACCGCGTGCACCGCACGGCGCCGCGCCAAACCCCGCGCCAATTATTCCATCTACCTAATGCCGCTTGCTTCTTACCACCTCCTCCGCTCCTTCCTCCCTTCCCCCTTTCCTCCTTTCCCCTCGTTACAGACTCATCCGGTACAACGACAAATGCCGACTCCGCCTCCGCTGGCAGCGCGACCTCCCCCGGTAGTACCGCGACCTCTGTCGACGCGACAGCTGGCGCGGCGGCATCGGACCTCTCGGATTTAGCGGTGGACGCGAAGACGCAGGCGGAGATTAAAGCCCTCGCGCCGCTGATGGGCAGCGCGGACCTGACGAGCGTCGATAAGCCGCCCACGCGCGCGTCCTACTTAACTAAAGACGCGTTCGCGGTGGCGGTGCGCAAGTGGATCGCGCAGGTGAAGCGGCGCGTGCAAGCGGGGGGAGGCGGTGGGAAGGGGCGCAGTGGGAAGGGGCGCGGTGGGAAGGGGCGCGGTGGGACGGGGCGCGGAATGAGCACGGGTAACAGCGCGCACGGAAACATCACCGTTGGTGAGAGAGACACTTGATAAAAGTGATTTTTTGAGGGGAAAATATGTCAATGGTAACTTACATGGGGCATTATAACGCGTACGGTAACGATTTCAACGCGTTTGGTAACTCGCTTAACGCGTTTGGTAACTCGCTTAACACGTTTGGTAACTCGCTTAACGCGTATGGTAACTATACACTAGCATCCCATCACACGAATGGTAACTAGAAGAAACCCTCGCCCAAAATGACCCTTATTCTGGTTTTTCCCGCTCGCGTCAGACTAAATTGACGAATCTTGAAGCAGAAACCTCTGACACACTCTCCGAAATTCTGACACAGTTTTCCGAAATTCTGACACACTTTCCGAAATCCTGACACACTTTCCGATTTTCAAGCTAATTGCAAAAACGTAAGTGTTGTGAAAACAACTGTTCATACATAATTGATATTCTGGCGCTCTTTCCGCAAACTGTTTGTACTTCATTCTATCGTGCAGCTGGGGCAAAAAAATCTATACCCCTTTCAGATGGCAAATGAATTTGAGAGGCGACCCTAAACTCCTTGCGACAAGGCGTTTATGGTTCTTAAAAAAATAAAAATGAAACATGTAATTCTAAAGAGATGTCTTTTTCCCACATGCAAAAATTCTCCAACGTTGCAGTAATTACAAAAGGTAAAAGCCCCGAGGTCCTTTCGGGGAATGTTTTTTTATCATTTTGCAAGTTCGCAATCATGCTATCAAAAATATGATATTAACCGTTTTTTTACGAGCTACATATTGTTACTAAGATAACGTACTAAACTGACTACTAACGGCCTTTTGTTGATACTATAACTCTCTCCTCGGGGTCACCTCCGAGGGTCCTTGGGTGCTTGACAGAGGCCAGCCCCTATCCAAGGGTCCGAGCGTGTAGAGAGAGAGTTGCAATAACAACTGAAGTGCAGTAGTAGTCGTCGCTTCCTTGGCGTTGTCGAGACAATAAGATATGGCAGCGTACTTGTAGCAGGCGTAGGAGAAATCTTCCACTCAAGTTATTTATTAGAACAAGCAAACACAAACAGATTTATACCTAGCCTTGTCTATTCTAGCCTTTCCTATCCTGTTCTACCTTTCCTATTCCAGTTCACGTAGCGTGAGCACATATCAAATTTCCCTCAATTTCCCTTCCTGACCTGACACGCGCTTCGCCGAAACATTTTGGGTTTCGCGCGCCAACAAAGTTCGACGGTGCCGATCCGAGAATTACACTTCACGCCAACTCCGAACGGTTGTGATGAGGCCCATTCGAAACTTCGATCACAAGCAGTTCCGAGCTCATGCTTTTAGAGAACTGTAACTCGCCACACGGGCCTCGCTTCCCGAGGCGCGAACACTTACCAATCCGAGCTGTCATTGCTGTTCAGAACGTGAGTAGCTGAACTCATACTTCGATCTCTTCGCTGGTCTCGCCACCAGCGCAACATTCCATTCGCGAGCTTGTAACGCTCGTGTTACTCCCCCCGAAGCGCGAACAGCTGCCTTGTGCTTCGGTCGCGTTAGCTTGTTCGGAACCTGTTCGGAACCTGTTCGTAACCTGTTCGGAACCTGTTCGTAACCTGTTCGTAACCTGTTCGTAACCTGTTCGTAACCTGTTCGTAACCTGTTCGCGCTGCGTGTTCAGAACGAGCGCGAACATTATCCAATCAGCGCAGTCCGTGTCCGTCAGTTCTAGCAGCGGCGAACTCGCAGCGCGAACAGGAATTTCGCGCTGTGACTCGTCGATAAAAAACTGTTGAGTCAAACTGAGTCTGTGAACTGCTTCGTCGCTCCCCATTGGTCGAAGCTCAAAACCCCTTGATCGCTCGCTAATAAACGACTCGCCCCACTGCTTCAGCCGCTTGAAAAACCTTCCTGATAAAATCGGCTGATTGATATACAGAAAATTATTTTTGTAATCAACACATATATATTTCAAACGGCTCTGAAACTTTTCGGTCCGTGGTAATAGAACAAACGGGGTCCTTCAAAGTCGCGGCGGGACTTGTTCAAGAAAGATAAAACTGTGCGTAAAAGCTTTCAAACTCGATAAATTCCTCGTTGTCAGTATCATTTCGGCGGGAGTTTCATGTAGTTACCATTCGCGTCATGGGCTGCTAGTGTATAGTTACCATACGCGTTAAGCGAGTTACCAAACGTGTTAAGCGAGTTACCAAACGCGTTAAGCGAGTTACCAAACGCGTTAAGCGAGTTACCAAACGCGTTGAAATCGTTACCGTACGCGTTATAGTGTCCCATGTAAGTTACCATTGACATATTTTCCCTTTTTTGAGACGTCTCAGAAGGGTGTTCTTTTCCTTTTTAAGTGTATTTTTTTTACGTCTCAGAAAAATGTTTTTTTTTTTTAAGTGTTTTGAACACTTAAAAAAAAAAGCCGTGGGTGAGAGAGTCTCGCGGGGGCGCAAGGGCGCGTGGGTTGCGGTGAAATTGGGTCAAGGCCAAGCGTGTGCTGGTGGGGAAGTGAACATATTTTTTATGCGGTTTGGATTGGAAATTCGCCACCAGGACGGCACGAGGGCGGCAGCAGGGCGGCGAAGGGGCGGCACGAGGTGGAGTGTTGCTGCTGCCGTGGGTGCTCTGCGGATTCTTTCTTCTCTCACTCTCCCCGCCCTCACCCTCCCACCTCAGGCTCCTCCCGCTCTCCTCCCTGCCCTCCCCTCCCTGCCCCTCCCCCCTCTCCCCACCGCCAGACCGCAGTCTAGGAGGCTACGTCCCTCTCCTCAGCACGGATCCCGCCAAGCTGCCGAATCTCAACACCGTCTCGCGCTACCTCCTTCCCTCCCCCCTACCCCCTACCCCCTCCTCCCTCCCCACCGCCAGACCACAGTCTAGGCTACGTCCCTCTCCTCAGCAGGGACCTCGCCAAGCTGCCGAATCTCAACACCGTCTCGCGCCGCTCCCTCCCCCTCTCCCCCTTCCCCTCCCCCAGACCGCAGTCTGGGCTACATCCCCCCCCCCAGCAGGGATCTCGCCCAGCTGCCCAATCTCAACACCGTCTCGCGCTACCTCACCGTGGGTCTCACGCTCGAAGCCACCACCCAGAAGCTCACGTGGGACTTCAAGCGCAGTGTGGACCACAGCTCGCTGTTTGAGACTGACGGAAATTTCGACCAGGGCAACTGCGGTGCGTGCTGTAGACCGCTGTTGACCCCTGTTGACTACTGTTGACTCGCGTTGACTTCTGTTGACCTGGGTTAACTTCTGGCACAGGCGAGGCGATTCAGGGCGCGTGTGCTATCTTCACGTATCCCTCAGGGAGCACGGATGTTTGCGTAGTGCCTGGTGGGCTGCTCTAACGCTGCTGCTGTGCTGTTGACTCGCGTTGACTGCTGTTGACCTGTAATAACTGCTGGTCTGCACGATTCAGGGCGGCGCAGCAGTTGCTGCTGCAGTTGCTGCTGCTGCTGCTGCTCCATGTGTTTGCTCGTGCTGCCACCTTCCAGCTACAATTACCACACATCCCTCCTCCCCTTCTCCCTCCTCTCCTCCCTCCCCTCCCTCCCCCTTCTCAGGTTCCTGCTGGGCCTATGCAGCAGCCAGAGCAATCCAGGCCGCGTATGCTCTCGTCGCGGACCCGGACTCCTTCCCCAGCGGGATGAGGCTGTCCGTGCAGCAGCTGGTGGACTGCACTGGCGCTGCTGCTGCTGCACCTGCTGCTCCCTCCTCAAACAACTCACAATACCCCCGCCTCCCCTCTGCTCGCCTCCCTGCCCTCCCAGGTTCCTGCTGGGCCTATGCAACAGCCAGGGCATTTCAGGCCCGGGCGGCGTATGCTCTAGTCGCGGAACCGGACTCCTTCCCCGGTGGAACAAGGCTGTCCGTGCAGCAGCTGGTGGACTGCACTGGCGCTGCTGCCTCTCCAAACGCAATAACAACCCCGCCTCCCTTCCCCTCCGCCCTCCCCCCATTGCAGGTTCCTGCTGGGCCTATGCAACAGCGCGGGCGATTCAGGCTGCATATGCTCTCGTAGCTGACACTGAATCCTTCCCCAGCGGGACGAGGCTGTCCGTGCAGCAGCTGGTGGACTGCACGGGCGCTGCTGCCACGTGCCGAGGGGGGTACCCGGAGGCTGCCCTGCAGTATGCCGCTAAGAACGGGCTGCAGAACGAGGCGGGCTATGCTTAATCTGGGGTGGACGCCAAGTGCGACGTCAAGAAGGAGTTGGTGAGTTTGTGAGTCGAGCCAAAAGGATCCTTGGTAGTGAAGCGGCGATGTAGTATGCTGCGAGGAACGGGCTGCAGGATGAAATAGAGTACGCGTATACGGGGGGTCAGGGGCAAGTGCAGCGGCAAGAAGGAGACGGTGAATTTTGAGTCGAGCCAAAAGGTACCTTGGTACCCTGAGGCAGCAGCTCTGCAGTATGAGGTTAAGCATGGGCTGCAGGTTCCGAGGGTCAGTGGCCAATGCAGCTTCAAGGATGTCTCTCACCCGTTAACGCTGCACTTGCCTTGCCGCTCCCCGTGCTCAAGCATGTCACCCCGTGTGGTGAGGGCTCAGCACGGGGGGCGTGGAACATCACCCCTCCCCCGAACCACCCCTTCCGGGCTCAGCACAGGGGCCGTGGAACATACCGTGATACATATTCCAGCGAGCAGCAGCGTAGGAGAAAGATTTTGCTAGATAATTCGCCTATGCTGCTGCTCGCTGGAATATGTCTCGTGGAACACGACCCCTTCTGGGCTCACCACAGGGGGCGTGGCGTCCCTGGGGTGCCTCTTCCGGGGCTACTTGGTCATGCCGGTCTGAGGCTCGCCCTTCCCTACCCCACTCTGGTCCCCCTCCCCCACCGCCTCTCCCCCCTCTCCACCGCCCTCAGGAGTTGTGGAAAATCTCGATGTACGAGCAGGTGCTTCTACCAGGACCGCTGGGGCTGGCGGCTGGGGTTGGCCTCTACCAATGCTCACTCCTTCTTACCGTGTTCTTTTTCTTCCCTACCACTCCTCACCCCTCTCCACCGCTATCAGCCCAAGTACAACATCAGCATGTATGAGCAGGTGCCACTGCCGGGGCCGCTGGGGCTCATTCTCGCGCTGCAGAATCAGCCTGTTATCGTCACCATCCGCGCCTCCTCCCAAGACTTTATTGACTACTCGGTGGGTTGGTGTCTCTCCCTCCTCTTCCGTCCTCCTGCCTTCGCCCCTGCCTTCGTGGGACGCTCTAAGAACCATCCACGCCTCCTCAGAGGATTTTATCAACTACCCGGTGAGTTCAGGTTATGCTGTTGCTCACGCTGAGTTTGCCTTGAGAGTCGACTCTAAAGTCATGGCGCTGCAGAATCAGCCCGTTATCGTCACCATCCGCAGAATCAGCCCGTTATCGTCACCATCTGCAGAATCAGCCCGTTATCGTCACCATCCGCGCTGGGAGAACACGTCTTCTCTTCCCTCCCCCATCCCACCCGCTTTCCCTTCACAGGGTGGCATATACGAGGGCGTATGCTGCTACAGCCCGCTGGGGACGGTAATGGATAGCGGAGGAAGAGGAGAAGGAGGCGATGGGTACGGAGCGACGGCCACAGCCACCAACAACACGGCCCTTCTGGACCACGTGATGCTGGCCGTGGGGTACAACTATGATGCGCCGGGCAGCTGGGAGAATTACTTCATTCTGAAGAACAGCTGGGGGCCGCAGTGGGGCGAGGGCGGGTACATGAAGATTCGAATGGAGAATGGGCCGTTCGGCACGTGCGGCATGCTGGTGAATCGCGGGCTCTACCCCATTGTGAATGGTGAGGCGCGTTCTGAAAGGTGAGGCGCCTTGATGTGCTTGTGCGCATGTGAGATTTGTTCAGCTCCCATTCGGAAAAGCAGCTGGGGGCCGCACCGCACAGGGGCGAGGGAGGGTATATGAAGATCCGTATGAAAAGCACTGGAGAATTCTCAAAAAGGGATTTCTGCATGGATAATGGCTCGTTCGGCACGTGTGGCATGATGGTCAACCGCGGGCTCTACCTGTATCCCCTGTGCGGGGGGGGGGCGTGTTTTTTTAGTATTCTCAAAAAGCAGATTCGGCTGTACCTGTACACTTTGTGGGGGGGGCACGTGTGTGATTGACAAGAAGCGTCACCCTTCCTGAGATCTCCCTCCTTTCTTTCTTTCCTCCCCCCTCCCCATCCCATACCGCGTGGCCAGTCCCCCGGAGCACGGACCCCTGCAGCACGTCGCCCTGTGGGGGAGCCACGTGTGTAATTGACAAGAACCGTTACCCTTCCTGAAATCTGCCTCCTTTCTTTCCTCCTCCCTCCCCATCCCCCACCCCCTCGCCAGTCCCCCGGACCACTGACCCCTGCAGCACGTCACCCTGTGGGGGCGGCACGTACGGCACACCCACCTGCACCGTTGGTGAGTTGCATGAGTAGGCCCACCGACGGCACGCCCACACGCACCCCCACACGAGGGCTAACTGACGGCACCCCCACACACGGGCTAACTGACGGCACCCCAACACGCGGGCTAACTGACGGCACCCCCACACGAGGGCTAACTGACGGCACGCCCACACGAGGGCTAACTGACGGCACCCCCACACGCCCACATGCACCTCAAGTGTAGGCCCTCATGTGAGGTGGGGTAGTGCCTCAGCAGCGAGAACCTCGTCGCACTCACTCCCTCCACTCTGCTCTCATTCCCCTTCTCCCCTCCCAACAGTCAATGTGTGCAGCATTCTACCCAACAATCCATGTGCCGTGGGGCAGTGCATCAACAGCGGCGTTGGCGGCTACTCTTGCCTCTGCCCGCCCAACTACAAGCCCAGCCTGCTCGCCTCCGGCCAGACCACCTGCGTGCCTGGTGAGGCTAGGAGTGTCTATTCGTGCCTTTGGTGTGGTGGTGGGGTGGGAATGGTGTCTATCCGTGCCTCTGCCCGCCCAAATACAAGCCCAGCGCGCTCGCCTCTGGCCAGACCACCTGCGTGCCTGGTGAGCGACAGATGTCTCCTACTCGTGCCTCTGCCCGCCCAACTAACTAAGAGGCCAGCCTTCTCGCCTCTGCTCGCCTTTGGCCAGATCACCTGTGTGCCTGGTGAGGCTACAAGAGGAGAATGGGAATGGAAGGTGGTATAGTTATGGGAATGGCGGCTACTCGTGCCTCTGCCCGCCCAACTAAGTACAAGGCCAGCCTGCTCGCCTCTGGCCAGACCACATGCGTGCCTGGTGAAGCGGGGATTGCGATGGGAATTCAGTGGTGAGATGGGGGTTCTGATGGGCGTTCAGTACAGAGGTGAGGGGAAGGAGGGTTCTTGCGAAACAGGGCGTGATTAAGAAATTAAGCGGTAAGGGAGAGTAGGGGGAAGAACGAAGAAACAGTAGACATTTTTGCCTTTCCTTCATTCTTTTCGTTCTTTCTGTTTGGATACCAATTCATCCGCTGGGATCCATGCACCATATGTGACATCCCGATTCCTATCCCACGTCACAGTTGAGGTAAGCTGGTTTCGAACCGCTGCAAGCCTGCTAAGAGTATGACGAAAAGACCTTTGCTTACCTCAATTCATCCGCTGGTTTTGAGACATATGCGATGTCTTGTTTTGAGATGACTCAAAACATGCACCATATGGGACATCCCACTCCCACACGTCACCCGTCCATCCCATAAGCGAAGCTTGCTTTACAAGCGGACTGCTCACCTGACATCCCACGTCACCCGTCCATTTCTTATTCGACTCAATAATAGACATCCCACGTTCCACACTCACCCGTTCCATATTTTGAGTCGACTCAAAACAAGGCTCATCCCACGTTCCACATGTCACTCGTTCCATATGTGCCATGGCAGATATGTCAACGAGCAGTGCAGCAGCAGTCCAGAGGGCGTACACAGTGCAGGGGGGGGAGACGTGTGGTGCCATCTACGGCTTCATCGGCCTCACCCAGGAGCAGTTCCTCCTGCAGAACGAGGTGAGAGGAGGGATGAGAGCTGTGACAAGCTCACTCGCAGGTATGCATTCCCGTGCCTGGGCGAGCCAGGCCAGGCACACAACCTCCCTACATCTCAACTCCATCCATCTCTGCTCACTCTCCTATCCCTTTCTCCATTCTCCCTTGTCTCTGCTCAACATCCACATCCCCTCCCATTCCTGCTCAGCCCTTTCCCTCTCCTTATCCGCCCTCTGGTCTCTCGAACCCCTCCATTCCCCCCCTTTATCCACCAGGGATTGGACTGTGACAATCTCAAGACAGGTCAGCAGCTCAACCTCTCGGTCTCTCAACTCCATTCATCACTACCCTTTCACCCCCTCCATTCCCCCCCTTTATCCACCAGGGAGTGGACTGTGACAATCTCAAGGCAGGGCAGGTTCTCAACACCTCCATCCCCTCCATCCCTATTTACTTCCCTATCCTCCTCCCACCCCACCCCCATCTCTCTCCACCAGGAACTGGACTGTGACAATCTCAAGGCGAGCCAGCACCTCAACACCTCCTCCCCTCCACCCCTGCTCAACCCTTTTCACTCTCCTTTTTTCCCCACCGCTCTCCACCTCCTTTATCCCTCAGGATGTGGACTGTGACGATCTCAAGGCGGGGCAGGTTCTGAACACCTCCATTCCTGCCTCGGCTCAAGTGTGCCGCGTGCGCTACTCTGTCACCCAGGTGCGCTACTCTGTCACCCAGGTGCGTTACATGTCTCTCAGGTGCGTTACATGTCTCCCAGGTGCGTTACATGTCTCCCAGGTGCGTTACATGTCTCCCAGGTGCGTTACGCGTATCCCAGGTGCGGTACATGTCTCCCCGGTGAGTTACATGTCTCCCTGCGTTGCATCTTTCCCAGGAACAGTACATGTTTTTCAGGCGCGTTACAAGTTGCCCAGGCCGTTACAAGTCGCCCACATGCGTCACATCACATGTCACCCAGTCACCCACTTTCCCCCTCTCACCCACTCTCTCCCCCCTCTCTCCCCACTCTCTCCCCCCTCTCACCCTTCCACCCTCTTTTCTATCTCCACACATGCATCCATCAATGCTCCCTTCTTTCCCCCCCTCCTCCCCTTTTCTTCTCAATTTCTTCCTCATTCCCCCCAGGCGGATGCAGCGGCAAACAGGCTGTGATTCCATCGGTGCTCTACCTCCTCCCACCTCGCTCCTCACTCCCCTTCCCCTGTCCGTGCCCTCTCCCCGCTTCTCCCCGGCCGGACGCAGCAGCAGAGAGCTGGCATCCCATCAAGAATCGATTCGGCATCGACGTCACGACCATCAGTGCTTGCTTCATTCCCCCCTCTCTTCCCCCTCCGCCTCCACGCCCCCTCTACTGTCTGCCAGGCGGATGCAGCAGCAAAGAGCTGTGACCCCATCGGTTCCCCCCCCCCCTCGCTCCTCACTCCCCTTCCCCTGTCCGTGCCCTCTCTCCACTCCCCTTCCCCTGTCCGTGCCCTCTCTCCACTCCCCTTCCCCTGTCCGTGCCCTCTCTCCACTCCCCTTCCCCTGTCCGTGCCCTCTCTCCACTCCCCTTCCCCTGTCCGTGCCCTCTCTCCACTCCCCTTCCCCTGTCCGTGCCCTCTCTCCACTCCCCTTCCCCTGTCCGTGCCCTCTCTCCACTTCCCTTCCCCTGTCCGTGCCCTCTCTCCACTCCCCTTCCCCTGTCCGTGCCCTCTCTCCACTCCCCTTCCCCTATCCGTGCCCTCTCTCCACTCCCCCCAGGCGGATGCAGCAGCAAAGACCTGTGATCTCATCAACGATCGCTTTGGCATCGACGTCACGACCATCAACCCCAGCCTTGACTGCTCAAGCCTCGTGCCCAATCAGCAGGTGAGGAGTGCGGTGCAGAGTGGTCAAAGTGGTGTAGAGCGGTGGGGAGTGGTCCGGTTGGTTAGCTTAGATGGCTTTGGCATCAACGTCACGACCATCAACCCCAGCCTTGATTGCTCAAGCCTCGTGCCAAACCAGCAGGTGAGGCGAATAGTGCGGAGGGGTTACTGAGGCAGCAGGTGAGGGAGTCCGGAGGAGGGGGGCACGACGTAGGCTTTAAGGGACGCCATGAGCTTTAACTTGACTGTTTGAGTCGACTCTTGTGAGTGTCTCATGTGCTCTTGTGAGTGTCTCATATTCTCTTGTGCTCTTGTCAGTGGGCTCCTGTGCTCCCCTCTCCCCTCGTGCCTCTCTAACCCTCTCTTACCCTCTGCTCCTCCCCTCTCCCTCTCCGTTCCTCCACAGATCTGCATTCAGGTGGGGGACGCAGTGTCAGGAGTAGCGGACTACAACCTGTGCACGAGCTACCTGCCTGTCAACGAGTGGATCACGTGTGCCGACCCTGTCGACTCGTACGGCCTCTCCTGGCTCGACCTCTACCGCCTCAACCCAGGCCTCAACTGCGACACGCTCTCCTCGCTCACAGGCTCCGAGGTACTAACATGATGGGAGAGTGTGGCTCTGGGAGTGTGGCGTTAGGGAGTGGCTTGAGGGAATGGGACCAGCTGGTCGGGCATGACGTGGCTCGACCTCTACCGTCTCAACCCCGGGCTCAACTGCGACACTCTCTCCTCGCTCACCGCCTCCGAGGTAACTAAGAGGGGGTGGGATGAGCTAGTGCAGGTAGAGAGGGGTGGCCCGCTGGGGTTGGCCTAAGGAGGGGAGTGGCCTCAGCCCCGGCATCAACTGCGGCACCCTCACAGCACTCACCGCCTCTGAGGTAGGGTGGCGCAAGGGGGGGTGGCCATGGGGAAGCGAATAGAGGGCTTGTGGCGCTAGGGAGGGCGCAAGGGGGGGTCCTGGCATCCACTGCGGCACCCTCACAGCACAAAGGGGGAAGTGGTGGGGTGGGGGTGGGGGGAACTGGCACTTGCAGTACGACTAGAAGAGGTACCTCTTAGGGCTGGCACTTGAAGGGGCGACGCTAGTGGGGCTGGCGCAAAGAGGGAATCAAACATTATTCCTCAAACCCGGGATTTTACTAAACAAATGCTGGCTTCTCGCACTCGTCCCCCGCCCTCCCCCTCCCCCCTCCCAGATCTGCATAGCCGGCACGCCGTTGGGAGCGGTGGCGTGCGGTAAGGCGCGGTCGAAGACGGTGGCGAACCGGCGGTACACGGTGGGGGCGGGGGACAGCTGTGCGTCGCTGGTGGTGGTGCAGTTCCAGCGCCAGCCGCCGCTCGTGGGCCAGCTCAACCGCAACTGGATGTGCCGCTCCCTGAGCCTCTTCGCTGGCATGCCCCTCTGCATCCCCTCTTAGCATCAACGGCACCACCTGTGTGGCACGACATGCCGCTCTGCATCCCCTCTTAGCACCGCCCCTCTGCATCCCCTCTTAGCACCGCCTCTCTGCATCCCCTCCTAGAACCACCAGCGCCATTGTGTGCCAGCACTGCCTCCCCTCTTAGACATAGTGATGTGGCATGGAATGGCGATATGAGCACTTTAAATCTTCTTGCCTAATGAATACGAGTGAGGCACCTTGAAATTCGCCTTAGAATCTTTTTGTCCATGTTTTGATGTATAATATGTAACATGATTTGTCGTCAGTTGTGTACGGTATTTTGTGCATGTAGTCTATGTTACTATATGGAGTTGTTGGGACTCATGGCCTAAACTATTCAAGCATAATGCATTGAACTATGTAGAGGATGAACTGAGGTGGACCGTGGAATGGAAGTGTTTGGCTAAACTGGTCATGGCAAAATATGTGATGTGATGAACTGAGCTAAAATGATTCTGACGAAAGAATTGTTATGCAAAGGGCCTTCTCCTGTGCAAACTTGCTTACCCTTGAGTTGAGTCCTAACCATAAGAGCCACTAGTGCAATACAAGTAATTCCCTCCCTCTCCTTCTTTCACCACCCTGTACCCAGCTTACTTTCTTACTGTGCAGGCACTCAATCAACCAGCGGTGGTGGCACTATTTCCACTTCCCCCTCGACACACATTTTAGTCCCTTCCCTTCCCTCCTATCCCTTAGCCCCACACTAATTGTGGATATTTACACTGCACTTGCTGCTGCCCCCTGCTCGGCCTTCATGAGGGAAATGACTTTTGAGACGTCTCAAAAATTTGCTGCCCCCTGCTCGGCCTCCATGAGGGGAATGTTACCTGCCAGACTCATCTGCACCTGTAAAGGGTAATAGCTGCCACTGCTACCACCAGCACTGCCACCGTCACCACCACCACTGTGACCCCCACCACCACCACCACCACCACCACCACCCTTATAACCGAGTGCTGCCCTCTGCTCTGCCTCCATGAGCGAAATGACCACTGCCAGATTCATCTGCTCTTACTAGGGGGAATAATCGTCACTAGCACTGCCACCTGCCAGTAGCACCACCAGCACCACCACCCATACCACCGAGTTCTGCCCTCTGCTCTGCCTCCATGAGAGAAATGGCGACGGCCAGATTCATCTGCTCCTCGAAATCATCTGGCACTGACAGAGGCATTCCCAGCGGCGCCAGGGATGCACATGCCGGTGCAAGCGCAGGTGAGGATGCATGTGCATGTGCAGATGCCGATGCCGATGCAGCCCCAGAGGGCCCTTGTGTTGCTGATGCCCGTGCTTGTGCAGCTGCTGCAGCTAGAGCCCTCTGCTCGTTTGCAAGCCGCCGCTGCTGCTCTTGCCTGCGTGCAGCCCTTTCTGCTGCCCTTTGTTCTTTCGCCCGTGCTTCTGCTAAACGTCTCTGCTCCTCTAAGAGCCGACGCTGCTGCGCTTCCCTGCGGGCTGCTTCTCGTGCTGCCCTTTGTGCCGCTGCTCGTGCTTCTGCAGCTGCTGCAGTTAAAGACGGCTGCACGCACCGCTGATGCTGATGCTGCTGATGGTGCTGCTGGCGGTGCTGCTGCTGCTGGTGCTGCTGCTGCTGGTGCTGATGCTGCTGCTGCTGGTGCTGATGCTGCTGATGCTGATGCTGCTGCTGCTGGTGCTGATGCTGCTGATGCTGCTGATGCTGCTGCTGCGGCGGCTGCTCCTGCCGGTACGCCTGAAACAACTCATCTGCTGATGGCGATGCTGCCAATCCTGCTGACACTAGTGCTGACAATCGTGGTTTCACTCGTGTTACCCCTTCCGCCGCTGCTACATGTGCTGGCAGTGGCACTTGCCCTCCCCCTGCGGCTTCACTCGAGGCCCCCTGCATTGGCTGCTGATGCTGATGATGATGCTGCTGATGCAGCTGGTGCTGCTGCTCGTGGTGCTGCTGCTGGGAGGGCGGAGCGCGGAGCGGGGAGAGGGATACAACATAGGAGACCAAAGAAGAGGAAGGGTGAGAACGACTTGCGAAATGATTGTAAGGAGGTGAGACAGGTAAAGAAAGACATTTTTTAATGCCACTCAAAAGATGGAGTGCGAGAGAGTCAGGTTCTTACTTGCAGGGAGAGGCAGATGCGTTCTTACTTGCAGGGAGAGGCAGATGCGTTCTTACTTGCAGGGAGAGGCAGATGCGTTCTTACTTGCAGGGAGAGGCAGATGCGTTCTTACTTGCAGGGAGAGGCAGATGCGTTCTTACTTGCAGGGAGAGGCAGATGCGTTCTTACTTGCAGGGAGAGGCAGATGCGTTCTTACTTGCAGGGAGAGGCAGATGCGTTCTTACTTGCAGGGAGAGGCAGATGCGTTCTTACTTGCAGGGAGAGGCAGATGCGTTCTTACTTGCAGGGAGAGGCAGATGCGTTCTTACTTGCAGGGAGAGGCAGATGCGTTCTTACTTGCAGGGAGAGGCAGATGCGTTCTTACTTGCAGGGAGAGGCAGATGCGTTCTTACTTGCAGGGAGAGGCAGATGCGTTCTTACTTGCAGGGAGAGGCAGATGCGTTCTTACTTGCAGGGAGAGGCAGATGCGTTCTTACTTGCAGGGAGAGGCAGATGCGTTCTTACTTGCAGGGAGAGGCAGATGCGTTCTTACTTGCAGGGAGAGGCAGATGCGTTCTTACTTGCAGGGAGAGGCAGATGCGTTCTTACTTGCAGGGAGAGGCAGATGCGTTCTTACTTGCAGGGAGAGGCAGATGCGTTCTTACTTGCAGGGACAGCCAGATGGCTTGGATGAGCATCATCTCCTCCGCATCCTCTTCCATGTCATCCGCTCTGCTTGGGGAAGAGGTGAAAGAGGAAGACAGGTGGTATGTGAGGGAGGTGGTATGTGAGGGAGGTGGTATGTGAGGTACAGTGGTATGTGAGGGAGGTTGTATGTGAGGTAAGTGGTATGTGAACGAGACGGCAAGAGCGAGAGGTGCTGAGAGGTGGGAAGAGGCAGATGCGATGAGGGGTGGAAAGCATGATGAGATCAAAAGAAGTGACTGCAAGATAGCGTGAGCTGCTCAAAGCAAGCAAAAAAGTGGTGGGATAAGGAGGTGACAGGGAAGACAAAATGAGGAGGACATCAAACGGAAAGGGAAAGGAGGAGGGCTGAAGGGCACGGCAAAGTGGGTGCAGGCTCTGACAAGTCGCTTGCAGATACGGCCCGCGCCAATGCTGGTGACGCTTTTGAAACGTCTCATAACCAGAAAGGCAAGGCAAAGTGGGTGCAGGCTCTGACAAGTCGCTTGCAGATACGGCCCGCGCCAATGCTAAAGACGCTTTTGAAACGTCTCATAACCAGAAAGGCAAGGCAAAGTGGGTGCAGGCTCTGACAAGTCGCTTGCAGATACGGCCCGCGCCAATGCTAAAGACGCTTTTGAAACGTCTCATAACCAGAAAGGCAAGGCAAAGTGGGTGCAGGCTCTGACAAGTCGCTTGCAGATACGGCCCGCGCCAATGCTAAAGACGCTTTTGAAACGTCTCATAACCAGAAAGGCAAGGCAAAGTGGGTGCAGGCTCTGACAAGTCGCTTGCAGATACGGCCCGCGCCAATGCTAAAGACGCTTTTGAAACGTCTCATAACCAGAAAGGCAAGGCAAAGTGGGTGCAGGCTCTGACAAGTCGCTTGCAGATACGGCCCGCGCCAATGCTGGTGATGCTGCTTCTGCTTCTTCTTCTCCTGATTCTGCGAAAGATGCTTCTGCTGCTGCTGCTGCTCCTGCTTCTGTTGCTTCTGCTGGCTCTGCTGATGCTGGTGGTGTTTGCCCAGCCAGCCGTGCAGAGTGCGCCCCTGCAGCCTCTACCTGCATTCTGATCATCGCCTCCACTGCCCTCTGCTCCTCCTGCTCCATGGGGGAGGGCAGAGGGAGGGGGGAGGGGAGAGGCAAGGGGAGTGGGAGTGGGAGTTTAAGGCACCTTAGCTCATCGCCTCCACTGCCCTCTGCTCCCCCTGACCCATGGGCAGGGGCAGGGGGAGGAGAAGGGGGAGGAGGGACGGGAAGGGTGGGTCTGAGGAGAGTTCAGGCACCTCGACTTTACGTTTCTGCTGCCCTCTGCTCCCAAAATCAGCAACAAGGACAGATGCAAGGGCAGCAGGAAGAGCAGCAGGAGAAGGAACAGGAAGAGCTGGAGCAATTTTGTTTGAGGTTGATTTTGAGAATTCTCAAAATCAACCGCAAGAGCAGCACGAGAAGGAACAGGAAGAACTGGAGCAAGAGCAGTTGAAATTTGTTGGAGTCGAAACGCAGCAAGCCTACTAAGAACAGGAAGAACTGGAGCAAGAGCAGAAGGAAAAGCGGTAAGCGGCAAGAATAGCAAGAGGAGCAGCAGCAGCAGGGACGTACCACCAGGTCGGCGTGTCTCTCCGCGGCTGTGCGCTTGCCTCGATGCTCCACAGAGAATGCATCCGTGTTGCAAAATGGGCAGCTGCGGGGGATGCAAGTGAGGGGTGGGGGGCAAGGGAAGAAGGTATATGTCACACGAGGCTGCATGCCTCGATCCTCCATAGAGAATGCCTCCGTGTTGCAAAATGGGCAGCTGCGGGGGATGCAAGTGAGGGGTGGGGGGCAAGGGAAGAAGGTATATGTCACACGAGGCTGCATGCCTCGATGCTCCATAGAGAATGCCTCCGTGTTGCAAAATGGGCAGCTGCGGGGGGTGAGGGGAGGGAGGGGCGAGCAGGAGGGCAAGTATGTGTCAGTCACACAAGAGTGCTCCACGTCTCCCACTGGGTGCTCCACAGAGAACGCATCCGTGTTGCAGAAGGGACAGCTCCGCGGAGCGGAATGAGGGGAGGGACGATGGGGAAGATTCCGGAAACGTCTCGTCTCACTATTATGCTCCACGAAGATTGCCGTCGTGTTGCAGAACGAACAGCGGCGAGGGGTGAAAGTGAGGCGCGACGGGGAAGATTCAGAAATATGCTCCATGAAGAATGCGGTCGTGTTGCAGAACGGGCAGCTGCACTGAGAGGGGTGAAAGTGAGGCGCGACGGGGAACGCAAGCACGTGTCACACGAGGCTGCATCTCACGTACTGCGTATCTTGCTGTCACATGCTCTACACAGTGGGCCAGATCAGATTGGATAGGATCGGATCCGAACCTGCGGTGCGGTGCGGTGCAGTGAGGTGAGGTAAGGTGAGGTAGTGACGGCGAGAAGGTATGTAAGGCGAGGCAAGGCAAGCAGAGGAATTACCGGAGGGCGCATTGAATAGAGTTTGCCATGCGGAGAAAGCAGCCTGCATGAGACGGGGGCAAGCGGAGAGATGCAGAAAAAAAAAACAAAACAAAACAAAAAACACACAAAAAAAACAAAAAAAACAAAGGAGAGACTGAGAAAATGGATGTGAGGGCGCAGGGAAGAGAGGTCGTCATGCGGATAAAGCAGTCTGCTGGGGAAGGGGCTGAAGCAGAGTCAACAGACAGGAAAGACTGAATGGAGGGACTGAAAGAATGGTTGTGATGGCGGAGGGAAGGGGGGTGAAGCTGAGAGCAGGGGCCGCAAGAAGCGATGAGGGCCTTGCATGCAGCAGCACAATCAACACGGGCATGCATGCAGCAGCGCAATCAACGGGCATGCATGCAGCAGCGCAATCAACACGGGCATGCATGCATCCAGCAGCGCACTCAACACGGGCAGGGCGTGCTATGAAACGCGGGGGGGTGCTACTACCAGCACTCGAGGCTCTTGAGGTTCCAGCAAGTACCCACCCGTGCAGTTACCCACCCGTGCATAGCCTTTTCTTGCAGCATCGTGACGTGTTAAGGCTGGGGTAGTGCTGCAGCAAAGGAAGGAGGGTGCATGGGATAAGACAAGCAAACGTTTGGCTGGCGGAAAAGGTGACATACTTACTTCATATACGAATAAACATTTTTTATGGAAGGTGAATGAAAAAAATGCGAGTGGTGCAGCGAGGAGTCGTTCAAAGCAGGAAACGATCTGTGCCACAAAATCGAATCAGCATCGATTTTGTCGTACGAGGAAGCAGATGGGGCACTCGTCGAGGTCGTCGGGTTCGTCCCTCCCTCGCCGCATAGCGTCGTCGAGTTTGAGTCAATTCAAAGGAAAACAATGACCCTGTGAGGAAACGACCCCTCCCGGAAACAACGAAACGACCCGTCGTACGAGGAAGCAGATTGGGCACTCGTCGAGGTCGTCGCCGGGTTCGTCCCTCCCCGCATAGCGCGGCGCGAGTCGCACGGCCATGTCTGCGCGAGAGACGCGTCCGCGTGGTAAGTGCGGTGAGAGTGCGTGCGCGAGCCGCGACTGCTTGCGCGCAGCGCGGGTGTTCGGCTCGCGCGAGCCGCGGGTGCGTGGGTGCGGTGAGAATGTCGCGGTGCTTGGCGTGCTCGAAAAACCCTCCGTCAACCGCGCAGGTTGGAGCTTGCGAATGAAACAGGCAGGTTTGAAGTGCCTGAATATGCCAGGCAACGTTTGAGAGCAGAGCAACCTGTTCGGAGGAGCTCAGCTTTTTGCTGTGGCCGTCGTAACTTGCTACAATAGCTCGCTCACTCGTTATGTCTGGCTGGCATGCCATGCAATTGCATCACTTTCATGCAGCCTAGCATGGCTCGAAATGTCGGACTTGCCATGTCTGCCACGTGGAGTTTTAAAAATTGGTCAAGTAAAGTTTATATAGCACCCCAAATGTGGGTGTTTGGTCTAGTGGTATGATTCTCGCTTTGGGTGCGAGAGGCCGCGAGTTCGATTCTCGCAACACCCCGTTTTACCTTTTTTTGGGTACTGTTTTTTTGTTTTCTGTTTCTTCTCTTTCTGTAAATCTACTACTGGTACTGGTATGTGGCTCAGCCCTCTTATCTTAGTCTTCCTCTCCGTTTTGTTGTACATGGTTACGGCCTCTCTTCTTCCTCACCGATTACATGCAATGCAGCTAAACCAATTTGATTAATTGATTTCCTCCGCACATACATCCTTTCGCCTCCATCTACACTACTTCCTATGGCTGGTTGAGTCCAGCACCATGTTCTCCCGTGTATCTATGCTCAGCCCCCCACAACTATTCACACGAGGCCACACAAGAGAAAGGCACCATGCTTTCTCCTCCACTCCCTTCTCAGAATCCTTGGTACCCACTTCTCCAGTGTCTCATGGGCCTCCTCTGCTGCATCCTCTGCCCACCATGGTCTCCCACCCACATCAATGCTCAAGCACCCTGCACAGCCACACACGTCAGGCCACACACGAGGGAAACACCACCCCCTCCCCCTCCTCTACCTCTCAACATCCTTCACTTCTCCAGTGTCCGTCTCCTGCTCGACTGCACAGTGTTCTCCCACACCCATACTCACCCCCACACAGCCATACACGCCAGGCCACACATGAGGAATACACCACCCTGCTTCCTCCACTACCACTACCTCTCAGAATCCTTCACTTCTCCAGTATTTCCTGTGTCTCCTGCTCTACTGCACGGCACTGTGTTCTCCCATGCCAACGCTCAGCCCTGCACAGCCATACACGTCAGGCCACACACGAGACACGGCCTCCTCACCTTCACTACCTCTCAGAATCCTTCACTGCCCCCACACCAACGCTCAGTCCCGCACAGGCATACACATCAGGCCACACATGAGACGACGCCTTGCCACCCCCACCCCCACCCCCATCCCCACCCCCACCCCCACCCCCACCCCCACCCCCACCTCCTCCCCCTCGTGCCCGCTGCACCACAGATGGCACATTCCTAAACAGCCTCCTTCCTCCTCCAAGCAGCTGACCACTCCAAGCCTGCCACGTGTGCCCTCCCAGTGCCCTCCCACCCGCACCCCTCACCCTCTGCTTACACACACCTACCGCCTCTGCACCCACCTCCACCTCCTTGCCATCCACCCCTGCCAACCCCTCTTTCACCCTCTGTCTTGCAGCACCTATCGGCCCAGAGAAGGTGAAAAGTTTTTCCAAGACATCATCATCATCATCATCATCATCATCATCATCATCATCATCAGAGCTCTCACCATCCTGGGAGGTCACACCCACACATTTGCTCTCCTCATTTTTTCTGTTGAATCCACCACTAACATTACCGCGTGACACTGCCTCGTCCTTGCCTGCTATCCCCTCCTGCTGCTGCTGCCCCTCCTTCCCTGTCGTGCCAAGCTGGATCGCCTCGAGCTGCCCTATAAGCTGACTCAGTATTGCCCGGCGAGATTGGGCAGCCACTGCGTGCTGATTGGTGGACGCCACACCTGCTGCTTCTGCTGTATCCCTCTGCATCACTGAACTTGGGTTTAGGTCAGTGGCGGTTGTTGCGACTGCTGTGGCGGATACTGAAGCAGCTTGTAACGAGGACAACAGGTGAGCGAGAGGGAGCTCTTGGGTTTTCAAGCCGGTCTTGTCAGGGCACGGCCCAGCACTGCCGCTGCAGTTGTTGCTGCTGCTGCTGGCAGAAAGGTCGTGACTGAAGGCAAGTGTTCTTCTATCGGAACCTTGCAACTTGTCAGCCTGGAGAGGGGTGGTTCTTGGGAACACCAGGTTGTGACTGTAAGCAGTGTGACTGGGCACAGCATCACGGTACGGCCGGAAGGTATTCCCAAAAGGATAACCATCCTCTCTACAAGTGACCGCGTTTTGCATACAATATCCCTGGTCAAGCCACGGGCCAGTTTGTGTGAAGTTACCACACCATTTCTCCTTCTGTGCTTCTCCCTCTTCTCCCTCTTCTCCCACTTCAAATTTCTCCATCCCCTTGTGTCGCTCCCCATTCCCCTCCTCCTTCTCCCCCTCGAGTTTGCCTGTACGCTTCTGCTGCTCCGCCTCTTTCTGCCCCGGTCTCCCTCCCTTTCGTCGCCAAACGCTGCTAATGCTCTTAGACAGAACCAGCAGGGTATTTACCCTTTCCCCCTCACCACGTCCTACACTCCTAAACGTGGGTGACTTCAAACCATGCCAAGCTTTTGACCCCTGAAAAGAGAAGGTTCTTCCTGCCTCTAATCTCAACCCCCTTCCCATGCTTGGGCGTTTCCCCAGATCCCTCCGCGCCTCCTGCCCCCCATCTCCGCCGCTTTCCGCCACGCCTCGCGCGCGCTTCTTTTTCCCGCTACATTCCCCCACGACTTCCCCATCCGCTTTCGTCTCTCCTGGTTCCACCTCCCTCAGTTCCGCCTCCCCCTGCGCCGTGTCTTTGAGTCGGATTTTCTCCAGCTCATCTATCAGCTGCGACAGCGTGCGACGTCGCGTGCGACCAGTTTGCGATCTAGAACCCAAAGAACGCTCCGTCGCAGGATCGCGAGCATCGTGGCTGTTACTGCGACCGGGAAAGCGGGGCGAGGGAGAAGACTCGCCTTCGCTGCGCGACTCTCCTTCTGCGCTGCTTCCATTGCAGCCACTGCCGCTGCAGCCGCTGCCGCTGCCGCTGCCGCTGCCGCTGCCGCCGAGGCCGCGGTATACATCGTCCAATGTGCTGCTGCTACTAGTACTAGTATTAGTATTAGTATCGGTGAAACTAGTATTAGTACTAGTATTACTTTCTCCCAGCCAATCGCGTCTTCCCGGTCCGCCAATTACTCCGCCGTCGATTGCGGAGGGATGCGGAGCAGCAACGGGGCAGAGAGCGCTGAACTGCCGCGCCAACGCCGCAGCTGGGGAAGGCGCAAGGGTAATCGGCGGAAGGGAAGGGGAGTTGGGGAACGCGGAGGTGGGTCGGCGGTGGTTGACCGGGCGCACGCTGGCTCCGCGGAGAATCGGCGGAGCGGCTGGTTTTGCGCTTGCGCCCGTTGCGGAAGCGCTGGTGCAAGGAAAAGCGAAAGGCTTTGCGCGCATGGGGGGCAGGGGGAGGGACGCAAGGGCGGCGGAAGAGGGGCGGAGAGACGAGATGGTGGGAGTGGGGGACGGGCCCGTCCCGTCGGTTGCCGCTTCCTTTGCCTGCGGCGGCGGCTCTACCACGTTTGCTACTGCCGCTGCTGGTGCTCCTGCTTCCCCTCCGCTCAGCCCCACACACTCCCCATCCGCTCCCACTTCCCCTCCGCTCGGCCTCACACACTCTCCTTCCGCTTCCGCTTTCCCTCCGCTCAACCCCATGCTGCCCTCCTCCACGCCCACTTCCCCTCCGCTCAGCCCAACACATTTCCCTTCCGCACCCGCTTCCCCTGCGCTCAGCCCCACGCACTCCCTTTCCGCGCCCGCTTCCCCTCCGCTCATCTCCATGCTGCCTTCCGCTGTCGAACCTGCAGACAGCTCTTGCTCCCCTCCCGCGCCCTCCCTCTGCACCCGTACCTCCTGTTCAGGTTCGGCGAGGGCTGGTTCGGCGAGGGATGGTTTGAAGATGGCTGTTTCGGCGAGGGCTGGTTCGGCAAGGGCTGGTTCGGCAAGGGCTGGTTCGGCAAGGGCTGGTTCGGCAAGGGCTGGTTCGGCAGGGGGCACTTCTGCCTGAACTGACTGCGGCAGCTCCGGTTCCTTCTGCAAGGCCTCCGTCCGAAGATCGTCTCCCTCGGTTGAGAGCACGTGGACATGTACCACTGTAGCACGGTCGTGTAACACTGTAGCATCGTCTTGTAACACTGCAGCACCGTCTTGTAACACTGTGGCACCGGCTTGTGCAAGTGTGGCACCGTCATTATCAGGTGCTGACTCTCTACCAGAAGCATTACCGTCCCTAACACCTGCTGCCGCAATTGCCGATTCATCGACAGGCGCAGCGTTATCCTCACTCGCACCTGCTGCTGTAACGGTCATCTCATCGACTTGAGGTCCCTCGAACCCTGATTCGCTAGTGTCTGCTGCTAAATTGCTGACAGCCGCAACATTATCTTCTCTTGCGCCTGCTGCCGCAACGGTCAAATCATCGCCTTGAGCCCCGTAGAACCGCGATTCGTTAACGTTTGCTGCGGAATTGCTAACGTCCGCAGCATTACCGTCAACGGCACCTGCTGCTGTAACGGTCGACTCATCGACAGCCACAGCATTATCTTCTCTAGCACCTGCTGCCGCAACGGTCGATTCACCTACTCGCGAAGCCATCGCTACCGATCCCTCCGCCTCCTGAGGCCCCTCAAACCCTGATTCGCTAGTGTTTGCTGCGGTAACAGCTCCTGCTGCCGCTTCGGTCAACGCATCGACTCGCGCATCCGACGCTGACGTTTCCCCCATGAGTGCTCAGAACAATTTCACCCGCTCGCTTCCCGCTTCTCAGAAAGCTCCCGCTTTGATCTTCTGCGGCTCTGTGCACTGTTCGCCGAACTCGAAGCGCTTCGCAACACAGTCTGCAGCTGAGGGCAGGTTGCGAGGGAGAATCACGATGCTGCATTCACAATGCCGGCATCTCCTAAGTCACCTTGTTAGCCTCTGCGGCACATTTGGGAACGTCCCAGCTATGATGCTACAACAACCCGTCACTTCGCGTGGTGCTATGCTGCAACGAGCTAAGCTTTCCCCCCCAGCTCTGCTGTAGTCACGCTAGATTCATGGGTGCAAGCTGCATTACACACTGCCTGCAGAGCGTACCTGACGGATGGATGATGCAACGCAACACAGTGCATGGTAGGAAGAAAGCAATGGATGAACACCAACCTGATGTGATGCTGCGTCGCACTGTTGGATGTGATTTGATGTGGCTGGCCTGGAGAGGAGGGAGGGAGTGTAGGGAAACCAATGCTGGAAAGGAAATCTATTTTGTGAGCCAAATGGCGCGACGCGCGAAAGTCGTGGCCGAATCGGGCCCCTCGTGCGCACGGAATTGCCGTGCCGTTGTGATTCTTGAACAGGTCACTGACATTGGGCTTCTAAGTGATTGTATGAAATAAAGAGTATTGTACACTGATCAATGGCATGTAACTTACTTCTCCATTGAGCTTATGTTCAGCATAGTTTACAAAGGTGTGGTAATACCTGAACTGTAAAGGTTGTTCAGGTGCTACAAGAATGTACATTTATTTTGCTCATACAAAGCTGGAAAAGGTAAATCCGCATGCAATGTTCCCTACTCTGCACAGAAGCAGGAGCTATTCCACTGGTGGCACAACCCACCTATCCACACCATGCACTTTGAGAAACACCCCGTTGTGCATGTTGGGAATTTTCACCACTGCCCAAGTAAACAGCTTCGTTTCCGGCTGACCAAGCGCCACACTGAACCTAGTATTGAACTTGGTCAGGTTTGCACCTTCCAACAATGTTGGAATCTGGGCGTTACGCGGCAGCTGGCGCAGCTGACGGAGAGTGTACAAGCCACTGATGATGTTGTATGTGATTGTACGCACCCATTCAGTTCCGTTGTCCCAAACTCGCAGCAGGGTGTCGATTAATGCCTGGTTGGATGGAAGTAGTATGGTTGTGTTCTGGATAACGGTGTAGTTGGTATTGGGATCCTCAACTAGAGGGAAAGGGGGAACACAAGAGAAAGGAAAAGGTGGGAGGGAAGGCACAGGGAATGCATGCGCAGATAAAGAATAGATAGCTAACACGGGAGGGACGGGAGATACAGGAAAGCGGGTGAACAAGCATTTGACGAGGTATGAGTCCACAAGGGAAAATCAAACCTTTGGAAGACCCTCTAATCTGGGAAGGGAAATAGAAGCAGGGGGGAAATGATGAGGGGGACGAACAGGAGACTATGTGCAGAAGGGAACAGATTTCAAAAGCACATCTGAAGAGCGTGGCATGTGCAGCAGTGACATGGCATAGCATGCTCACAAGCCAAGTCACATCTGGTGAAGTCACATCAGGTAAGATCACATCAGGTGAGAAGTCACACTCCTTGCTCACCTCACCATCATGCAAGACGTCGTCAAGGAACGGTCACATCAGGCCACACGGAATCACAGGGTGTGTGTAAATGTGTGAGTTCAGGGCCAAGACCCTCACTCGCCCGGTCAAGGAGCCTTGCGGCGATGGAGTAGCGAGGCCTGGCAGCAGCGGCGAGTTGAAGGCCAGCGACCTCCACCCGCATCTGCTCGTTCGTGGGGGATGCCGCGACTGCCTGCTGCACAGCTCCGAGCGATAGCAGGATCAGCAGAAGCAGCAGCGGATGAAGAAGAAGAAGAAGAAGCGAGGGAGAGCGAAACGGACGAGGAGGATGAGAAGAGAGATCCATGCTTGGAATAAAGTCTACGCTTTATTTCTTGCTTTGGTATTTTGCTTCTTAAAGGTGTTTGGGGCGACGAAATCAGCGATTCTTGAAACGTGTTTCTCGTGAATACACAAAGCGGTCGTAACGCGGCTTATGAAAAAGACGGACTAACCGAACCCTCCAAGCGCTCGGCGCCCTCAAGAACGAACCCTCGAGTCGCGGGAGGGACTTTCTGGTGAAAGCTCGAAGGCTTCCACGCTCACCTCCCCTCTTCCGCATCGCGGCGATTTCGAGAGGGCCCTCCTGGGAAAGATCCCTAGTAGCGCCAAGCCCTCATGCCGTGCCACTCCGCATCGCTACCCTCCGAGGGTAGTCGCACGCACGCATTGTGCAGTAGTCGCAGCCGCCATGACGGTGGAGGGTTGCTGCTTTGTCGTATCTGGAAGGTTTCTGTCGTTGCGTGGCCGACTACGTCGCCTTCACCACGCCGCTCCGTTATCCTCCTATTGGTTGAGCTCATAAACTTGCTGAAATCTTCTAATCTCGCTCATCCGTTGTTGTCGGCCGAGTCGCTCGATTAGGGTAGGCTAGAGTTTTCTTATCCCAGCCTTCCCTGGTCAATTGTCATTGGTGTTGTCGCTTACGACGGGTTACCTTTTTTAGTTGTCGCCTGTCGCCGTCACGTCACGAGTACCTGCCGACCACTCGTGTGTGGAATGCAGCAATACTGGCACTCGTGTGCTGTTATATCGGGTTCCGTATGTGTAGTGGTTCGGCAAGAGTGGCTTTTGTTTGAAGTTCGTGTTCAGGTATGACACCAAATTATATATCTTCTTACAACTTTCTTATGTTTAAGCAAAAAGAACTACTTTAAGCATAACAAACTGGCACGCATTTACAGCTAAGGCAAGCAGCTTCACCACAGCATTGCAGAGTTCGCCTGATTATTCAAGAGGTTGCAAAAGTTCACAAGCAGCGATATTGTACACCCATGATAAAAACACAAGGCGGCTCGGCTCACCCAACCACGTTTATTCCTGAAAAGGGCAACATCCAAGAGTCGCAAGTGAGCACATGCCACGAAAAAAATACAACAGAAGTTTACAGTGTACCAATCCGCTGGCAAGAAGTACATGTGAGACTGTAAAGAGGATGCTCTTACCGGTGCGGATTTGATCGCCTTGCGGAAGATGAAGGCTGGCCGTGTGCTGTTGCGGATGGCCCTCCAGTAGGCAAGGAGAATGACGGCCGGCCGCACTGGTGGGCAGAGTAGGGGCAAACGGAAGAGAGGCACGCGGAGAGGGGACAGGTTAGGAAGGGACAAGAGGCCCAGCAAGTTGTCAGGCGCCTGGTGCTTGAATGACCTGGTGAAGCATTGGTGGGTGTGTCAATGTCTAGTTTTGAGGCGCCTCAAAACTAGGCCCAGCAAGTTGACAGAGAGGGCCTGGTGCTTGAATGACCTGGTACAGCATTGGTGGGTGTGGCAATACCTGGAAACCGGAGGACAGCAGGTTCGGGGCGGGGGTTGACTCACGTCGAATCTTTCGAATGCTCTTCAGAACGCTCTGCGGTTTCCTCTTGCTGCTTCCCTTCTCGCCTGCCTCGTCCGCTCGCTCCTCCTCCTGCAGGCTTATTGTCATTGCTGCTGCTGTAAGTGGCCTTCCTGTTGTTGTTGCCCCTTTCATCCCTAGCCTGTCCGATCGAGTATTCCTCCTGGTGTCAAACTCGTTCCGAGTGAACATTGAAGCAGGCACCGACACCACCCTACTCCATCTCGCCTTCACACTCCTCTTTCGACCCCCTTCCCCCACCTCTCCCCTCCCTCCTCTCTTCCCACCCTCCTCCCCTTCATTCCCCTCTCCCTCCTCCAGCCTCCCCAGAGGTCTACACATCTTGTATTCCCCTCCACACTTCCCACACCCCCCCGCGCCCTCCTCCCCCCCGCCCCTGTTCCCGCCCGCCTCCCCCCTTCCCCCTGCTCCCCCCGCGCCCCCCCTGCTGAGCCTATGCACGGGGGAGTAAACAGGGCGCCTGTTTCCCCCCACCACGCGGATTTTCCGCAGGGGCCATCCAGGGGAGGGCGGGGGGAAGGAGGGGGAGCAGAGGAAGCGCAGGGCAGCGTCAGGGGAGGGCGGGGGGAAGGCGGAGAGCAGGTGGTGCGCGCTGAGGGCGGGGGAGGGGAAGGACGTGGAGGGGCTGGGGGGGGGGAAGGCGGAGTGGGCGGAGAGTGCGCTGTGGGTGGTGATGGCGCGGGTTAGGGAAGGCGGGATAGAAGGGGTTGTAGCAGCGGATGTAGCAGCAGCTGTAGCAGGGGCTGCGGCAGCGGTTGTGGCAGGGGTGGCAGTGGATGCATCAGGGGCTGTTGCAGCGGCTGTAGCCGGAATTGTAGCAGCGGATGTAGCAGGGGTTGTAACAGTAGCAGGGGTTGTAGGAGAAGTGGGGCGGACGGGGATGTATTTGGGCGGGAGCAGCTTCTTGCTTCCTGCTGCTGAGCTGTTGCTGCTGCTGTTGCTGCGTGCCCTGCTGCTGCTGATCTCCCTTATGCTGATTGCTTTCACGCTCGGAGATCTTACTGTGCTCAGAGATTTTGCCGTGCTGTTGCCGCCTGCAGAAACGCTACTGCCGATACTGGTGATGCTGGTGCTCCTGCTGCTGGCGACTCTACCGCTGCAAATCTCCCTTATGCTGACTGCTTTCACGCTCGGGGATGTCACCCTGCTCGGTGATTTTGCTGTGCTGTTGTTGCCCCCACAAACGCTGCTGCTCCCGCCAACGCTGCTGCTGATGCTGGTGATGCTGACGCTCCTGCTACTGCTGGCCTTCGCTCCTCCTCTCTCCTTCATTCCACTTCTCCTTGCCTCGCTGCCGTCTTGAATGCTGCCTACAGCACCACTCCGCCTTCTGCTGCTGCTCCTGCTGCTTCTGCAGACATCCGTATTGCCACACCCGTTAG